CCCCCCCCCCCCCCCCCCATTGTGTGTTTTTATGTTCTTATGTTTTGTATGCACATAGTTATTACACACTAAGCCAGCAGCAGCAGAAGCACCACTAGCACTGCCATCACGTTTGATAATTACATATATACAATTTTCTGATCATCATGCAGAGGATATATTTTCATTTCTCCTCCCCCCCCCCCCTCTTTCTACCATATATATATGCAGGTTTACGAAATATCGCAAGGTTGTCTGGTGTTTTAATAGGATTTTATAAATGTAGAAAATGGAGAATTCGTGCGTATGCTTTGGTTGTTTATCCTATGCTACGTTATGCCCGATGGTATTTGACTATTTTAAGGCTTTTTTCTGTTTTTTTTTTTTTTTTTTTTTTTTTTTTTTTTTTTTTTTTTTTTGTATATGCATGTGTATGTGCCCTTAATTCGAATAGATGTTTCCTTAAGTTGCTTATTCATTGTGCAACATAAAAACTATTTTGTATTGCAACGAATATTTTTGTTTGTTTCCAAGCATGAAATGTGAAAATTTTGCTGTTGGTAGAGATTTGCAATTTAAACATACCTATTTGTCCACATGGTACTACTACAGTTTGTACAGATAATTTCCCAATTTATATATTTTCCCTTTTTTAATTATAAAAAGGTTGTTATTTGATAAACTTTAACAACATGATATGCTCATAGTTTTCTTTCATTGAAGTTTTCTTTTTATTTTCTTTATTTTTTTTTCAATCTTTCATTTTAATTATGGAAAAAAATGGAGTTATATATATATAATATACTTGTGAATTCTTTTAAAAAATTCATAAACAGCTAAAAAACTTTTTTTTTTTTTTTTTTTTTTTGTGTCTTTATTTCCCAGCTAGCTACTGCACCGTTGGGTAAATGGACACAAATTTGTTTCAAAATTTGTTTTAAATGGGGATAAAATTGGGTTAAAAAGGGGAGTAAAATTCTTAAATGGAATTTTAAATGAGGTAAGGAGAGAGGAGAGAACAAAATACAAACTCTAGTACGTTGGCTTCCAAAAGCACATAATTTTTTTTTTTTTTTTTTTGCGCACATCGATTTTTGTGTGCACTTTTTATTTTAAAATGACACCTTGCTGTTCAGGTGAAGGCAAGACAAATGAGCTATTTCCGTTCCATAGTCGTATAAGATTTCTTCCTTTTTCTTGTTCATAACTTCGTGCTCAAATATGCACTTCTGCAACTTGCCGCTAAGTTTGCTCAGGTCCTGAAAGTAAGTAGTGTTGATTGCAAAATGGTAGTGATTGCAAAGTGGTGGAGACAATGAAACACTGTGCGCACTATGGCAGTATGGGGGGCTTACTTGTATCTGTCTGAACACGGGAGGTGGAACGTGTACAAAGTCCTTCATCTGCAAGCAGATGTTCTCCAGAGTTAGAGGAGTTTTAATTTGAAAAACTGCACTATCATTGTCATAGTGATAGGGAAGAACAAAATATAATACTGGAAAGAGCGTTTCTTCAAAATCGTTAGTGACATTATAACGAATATTGTATTTAGATGTGTCTATTCCTATTACATTAACAGGTATAGAATTTTTTTTCAATATTTTTGATAAATCGATCATTAAAGATTTTACATGCATGTTCATAAAAATTTCGTTATTATAGAAAAGTACAAGGGTCTTCATATTATTATCAATAATGTTTTGTAAATATTCGGGTTTTATATCTTTATATAAATGTATATTTTGCTTAATTTGAAATATTTTACATAACTGCCGTTGCTTTTCATTTTTTTTCTTGATATAGGGTATGTATAAAAATATCAAAAAATGTGGAAAGAATAACATTAACGTGAAACATATGTAAGGCAAAATGGTTGAGACATATTGGTATCTATATTCCCCCTTTGTTAATCTTTTTCTATCGATTAGAAATGATGATGGATCCTCGTTTGCTTCGTATCTTTGTATATTGTAGTATAGGAGTGGTTGGATATTATATTTTTGTAAAAATTCGATGGGTTTACAGTTCTTTTGTTGGATGCTCCTTCCCAGCGTTATGTTTTTATCTATACCCATGTGTTTTACATCAATAAATATTTCCTTCCTATTTTGGTTTCTGTTTAATTTTATTTCGTCTAAATTTTCTTCAAAAAAATATATGTCAAATTCGTTAAGGAAATTTTCCTTTTCCAACATTTGCACAAACTGGCATAATTTTACATAACTTGTTGGTTTAAATATAACCCTTTCATATATTAAATTCTGCCTCTCCTTCAAACATGTGAAGGTACCTAATTTATCCATATTCTCTGGGAGAAAATGTTCATTCTGTAACACTTTAAAAAAATTTGATGGATCTGCTTTTACCTGATCTGTGCAGTTTTTTTTTTTCACCACATTTTTATGGCTAAGTTGTTTAAAAGAAAACAAAAATATATTCTTTCTTTGGTACCTCCGTTTTAACGCACTCCTAAGTAAGTCATGGGGAGTTCTGCACAATGGTGACATGTTTCATTTAGTGATATCCCTGTGTGTGCTGTGTGGTAGAAAAAAAAAAAAAAAATCCTTTTTAATTCTGTTGTTTCAGTTGTTACCTTTATATATATATATATATATATATATATATATATTTTCCTTTTCTTTTCTTTCCCAACTGCTGCAAAGTATTGTACATTCCTTGCACACATGTTATGAAGAATAATGACGAAGTTTTCTACAGTCTGTCGTTCTTTTTCACTTTGTGTTGGTACTATGTGTCTTGAATACAACAGCTTTACGTTCCCCCCATTTGTTCGTGTACCTTTATCTATTCGTTTTTGCAATGCTGTCAACTGTGTGCAGAATGGCCTCGGTTTTGATTGCGCGGAGAACCTAATAAAAGGACGCGTCAAAATCGGGAACTCACGAACTTAACCACCCTTGTACATACATGCACATATACATATGAATATGTCGCTCAATTTGGGCTTGATTTAGAAAAAACAGATGGTTCAGTACCACTTATTATGGAACGAGACAAACATTTCTCCTTCCCCCCTCCTTATTGTGCCCCTCTGAGGGTCTAGGATGCACAAATCGCCGTGTAGTAAATCTAAGAAATGGGTAGCTAGCACATGGGATACAAATGAAATATATATCGATGTAAAACGCAGTTCTCATAAATAGATAAACTGGTTAGAGCAAAAAAAAAAAAAGAAAAAAAAAAAAAGAGTGCGATAGAGAGAGAGAGCAGATTATGATATCTGATTTGAAATATATATATTTAAACAAAAAAGAGAAAATATATAAAAGGTGCGAATTTTCGAAAAATATAAATGTTTTTTTTTTTCATGTCGTGTAGCAAAAAAATTACTCAACTGGGGAATGTAACGTCGGATATATCCTTATGTATATGTTCTAACACTAACGACTAAATAGTGGTGATGTTTTTTTTTTTTGTTTTCCCGACGGGTTGCTCAAAAAAAAAAAATAAAAAAAATAAAATAATAAAAAAAAAAAAAAAAAAATAGTTTCCAATTGTCCATATAATTTAGTATACAAATTTTTTTTGCACTTTTTTGTTGCCTCTTTTCCGTTCCCTATTTTTTTATTACTTTATATTTTATTATTTATTTATTTTATTTTATATTTCCATCCGTGTCAATCAATTTTCTCTTTTTAAGCAGGTAACTTTCTTTTTTTTTTTTTTTTTTTTTTTTTAAAATTCCCCCCGCACCCATTTCTCCAAGGGGACCTGACGATATGGAGTTTAAAATAAATAAAATTTTATAAATAAAAATAAATATTACATATTTAAATATTTTATTTTTTTTTATATATTTTTATTTTTGTTGTGTTTTTTTTTTTTTTTTTTTTTTTTTTTTTTTTTTTTTTTTTTTTTTTTTTTTTTTTTTTTTTTTTTTTTTTTTTTTTTTTTTTTTTTTTTTTTTTTTTTATTTTTTTTTTTTTTTTTTTTTTTTTTTTTTTTTTTTTTTTTTTTTTTTTTTTTGAGACCTTTATGATTATATGGTTCATATGCACTTGTAACTTTTGTTTTCCCTCAGGTATGAGTGTACATAAAGCACTTATTCTGCACGAACCATTTTATATTATCACTTAGCTTTAGTAGTGTTTGATTGGATAGCTCAGGCTCAAATCATCTTGATTTACAGCAACGGAATTGTTGAGATCAGAATCGAAATGTTCCCCATGTAGGATGAATCATTATTTTAAACTTTTGGGAGAGTGATCCCACCGAACAGAAAATGCCTATTTTTAAAAATTATGAACATGGATCAGAACATGGATCCTAACATGAACCAGAACATGGGCCCGAGCATGGAGAGAGCCGATTCAATAAATGTAAAAGAAGTTCCCCAGATAAGAGGAAGAATAAATTTCGAAAAAGAAAAATACACGAAAGAGAAAAGTGAAAAACGCAGCTGTAGATTAAATAAAGGCACCCTAGAGAGATACAATAATCATAAATCAAATATGAATAAATCAACAAGTGCTCATAAAAGAAAAATGGTTCGTGGATTTAAACAAATGAACCAGGAAGACCTCTTACTAAATGTTCTAAGAAAAGAACACACATATATAACAGAGGGAGGAGAAGAAGAAAAGGAAAAAGGTACCCCCTTGATATGTAATTTTTCTTCTCCCTCTCTTTCTCACGTTAGAGAAACGGATACAGGACCACACCTCATTGAGGAAAGACAAAAAGGATGCACAAAAATTGATAAACATAATGTCCAGACGTATTATGAATTATATAATGTAACAAAATTTCATCATATAGATAAAGGAAGAAAAAGGAATCGTTTAATTAAATTTTATAAAGATGCACAGATTAAAAAAAGTGTGAGGAAAGGAACTAGTCAATATATCGATGAAGTGATGGAAGATAAAAATGATGATCCATTTTATTTCTTCACTCGACAGCATGTCGGATGTAAGAGAAACAGAAAAGATGATATAACGTCCAACATTTTGAGCCTCGAATGGAATGATAAGGAGCCTTCTAATTTTCTGTTTAATTGTTGCAATCAGGAATTAGTGAAGAAATATGTAAATATTCATAACACTGATTTTATTGAAATTCACGACATTTTTGATGAAACAAAATTAAATTTTGTTAGGAATAAAAATTTCTGCTTTTACAAAAATGAACAAATGAATAAATTTTACAAAGATAAGCATGATCAAAAATCGGGAACTCGACATGCCATCAGAGTTCCTCACCACGTGTGGGGGAAGCCCTTGCACAACCCCAGTGCGAACGACCAATTTGCGAGGGTTCCTGGGAAGGGGAAAGGGGATGCATCAAATGAGGAGGAAAATGAGGAGGCAAATGAGGAGGCAAATGAGGAGGCAAATGAGGAGGCAAATGAGGAGGCAAATGAGGAGGCAAATGAGGAGGCAAATGAGGAGGCAAATGAGGAGGCAAACGAAGAGGCAAATGAGGAGGATGCAGAAGAAACGAAGCAACAGCAGCTACTACAATATGAGGACGGAGAAGAACAAAATGAAGGCACGTACTTCAATCGAACATCTGATGATAGAAGTGCCATCAACATGCACGATAACCACATTTACCATAGCATCGAATATGGGGAGGACATATGTAAAGGGGTCTCCTTCGAAGAAACCATCTTAGAAGAAATGGATAAACAGAATGAGGAGTATCACTTAGAGATGGAGGAGATAGATTTGAGACCCAGTCGGGGGGAGCTAATAGAGGATCCTATTTCCACTGAACGTGGGGAAGAGACAGAGAGGGAGAAAAATGCTAACGGATTGATTGATGGTATGGGTGAGGTAGAAGCCTTGGATGAGGTAGACGTGATGGGTGAGGTAGACGTGATGGGTGAGATAGATGCCATGGATGAGGTAGACGTGATGGGTGAGGTAGATGCCATGGATGAGGTAGATGCCATGGATGAGGTAGACGTGATGGGTGAGGTAGACGTGATGGGTGAGGTAGATGCCATGGATGAGGTAGATGCCATGGATGAGGTAGATGCCATGGATGAGGTAGACGTGATGGGTGAGGTAGATGCCATGGATGAGGTAGATATAATCAATGTGGATATCGACAAAGAATTCGATTTCGATGAAGGAGATGACAAAATGGAAAACAGAAAGGGAGGAGAAAGTTGTTCCAATATTAGCAAGGACCATGGAGAAAAATTATTGAGTGTAGTTAATGATGAATGGGAGAACTTATCCAATTGTCAGGAAGATGGCGTGCTTGAAGCATTTAATTTAACTGAAGATGAATCAAATGAAAAAGAGAATAACGCATTCTTTGATCTTTGTTTTGATAGCAAGAAGGATTTACAAAGAGGGAACGATGGGACCAATAAGACGAAAGAACATTCTTATTTCGAGGATGTCGAAATGAAAGAATCTCACTGCAGTAGGAAAGATGATAATATATTTTTTAACGTCTTAGATGAAGAGGAGATGGTGATAAATAGAGATGTTCCAAAAGATAAGGAAGACTTTGACGAAGAATGTTCAATTGAAAAATGTGAAAAAAAATTTCAAAATATTTTGGAAAGTCGAAGAAGTGGAGAAGGGTATCCCATCAAAGGAGAGAAGGAACCAAGTTCAAAACAAACAAATAATGATTTTGCAAATGTTGCAAAATTAAGTGACATTTTTGATTCTATAAAAATGGATGATAATGAGAAGGATATCTATCAAACATCTTTTAAAAAAAATGAAGAAAAAGAAAATTCTCTTTTATCAGATTTTGATGGAATGATAAAAGGGCAAATACAGGAGGTAGATGAAGCGGATCAACTCAATCTAATACCAATACTCCCACCAGATGATGATGACGATGACCCAGTAGGAAAGTTGAATAAAGGACATTTGCACATAAATGGTGATCAGGAATTTATTAAGGATCTAGATTTAATGAAAGAAAGAAAAAGTTTTTCATACAAAGAGATGATGTATTATCCCTATGACAGTTTTATAGACAGGCCAAATGAAACGAGTTACACAAATATGAGCTATATGGTTCATCAAATGGATAGTAGCTTGAAAAAAAGGGAGTGTACCATTTTTAGAAATATTTATCGTGATTATTGGGGTCACTCAGAAAATCATCGGCATGATAGTGGTGGTGATGGAAGTTATGGAGGTGATGGAAGTTATGGCAAAGATGGAAATTATGACAAAGATGGAAATTATGACAAAGATGGAAATTATGGCAAAGATGGAAATTATGGCAAAGATGGAAATTATGACAGTGATAAGAATTATGTCGCTGATGACGAATTGTATCTATTCGGAAGTGACATTACGAACAATGCGTACATATACATGCTGTTAAATTACAAAAATATAAACAAGTATAGCTACGAGAATTTTTTGTGCCCGTTGAATTGTCAAGATTACACAGATTATGTTTTTAAGGATAGAAGAAGGGATAATGAGATCCTATATAATGAAAATATTATTAGGGAAGTTTTTAAAATTGATGAAAATGATCAAGAAGATACAAAAAAAGAATTGATTCGGCGTTATGGAAGAGACTATAGAAACAGAAATGGTTTTATTACATTTCGTCACGACGAGACAGATACATTTCTTAAAAAAAATAAACAAATAGAAGAGGGAATTCCAAATGAAGTTCTCACTAAAGGAATAACAGGATCGATGTATAAAGGTGCTGATTATTCCATGTCAATGCTGCAAGATGATAATAGTAAAGGCGAAATGGTTAATGTTCCAAAACGTATGGATAGCCACATCAGTATTGTCGAAAATTTGACGAGAAAAACAAATGAAATGTTTTATATGAACCTGCAGAATTATCCATTTGGTTGTAAAAATACAGATGCAGTTAATCACATCCATTTAGAGAACTTTTCAAACATATGGAATCATTTATATTCAAAAAAAAAATATTTTGAAGAAAGAGGAAAAGATACCATCTTACACGAAATAAATCAAAAACTAGCATGTCAAATACAAAGGAACAAGCAAATTTCATATCTTTTAAAAAATATTTTTTTAAAAAAAAAATCCATATCTGACATATTGTTAAGATCATTAATATGTACAAGTGATGAATTTAAGTGTGCTCCAAAACAGCGATATGATTTCTCCATTTTAAAAATGCACCAATATGAGAAGATATGTGAAAATTATGAACACACATCTAAGAATCATATTGATAATGCCTTATCATGGGTACAGGAAAGAGAGAAGAAAAATCAATTTCCCTCCATCATGGAAAACGCAGAGGAAGAAAAAGCCCCATTCTCATTTAAGGAAGAAAACAACTTCTTCATTGAAAACATCGAATTAAGATTGAAATGCATCAAACATATTTTAAGCAAACCTAAAAATGTTTTTTTCTTCACAAACTTGAAGCTAGACAGCTGCTACAGGAAGAGAAATCCCTACGAAATTGAAAACCAAAGGATTTCTTTTAGCACTTTATATACACACACACGAATGACAAATGATTATGATTATAATTATGAATTATCCAACAAGAAGGGAATAATTGCATTTTCTCGATTTCACAAATTAGATTTCAGAACCTCCATCGAAAAGAAGTGTTTTACGAATCCTGGAAATTTCTCTACAGAAGAAACAGATGAAATAAATGAGCAGCAAGTTAAGGAGAAATTCACTTTACTAAAATGGAGCTCTCTTAGTGTGGCATTGCAAAAGTATGCATATTTTCATAAGAAAATATACACCTTTTTTGATATCTCAAGAAGGAACAACCAAGGTGAAGTTGGAGGAATGGTAGTAAAAGAGGGAAAAGTACTGAAAGATTCGAAAACTTCAGAAGAGAGTATATCGAGGAACAACCACCTGGAACTTGTCAGCAGGATCAGATGCAGTAACGCGTCAAGTAGTGAAATGAAAAAGATGGAAAAAATGAAAAAAGTTAAGAAAACTTTAGGAAGGCAAAGACACCTTGAGAACCAATTTAAGCAGATCGTGGGCATTTTGATGGATCCATATTCAGATTTGAGTTCTTGCAGAATTGACAAATGGGAAATCGAAAATAAGTTTGACAATTCGATGATATTAAACTTTATACAAGAAGAAAAAGAGGAAAATCACGCTTTTCATTTTTTCCATAATTCTTGTTTACAAGTAAATGATAATAGCCCATTAGTCATTCTCGAATACATTGAAAAAGATCCTCTAGTATTACCCAAGATTGGTATGAACAGCAAATTAAATCACTATTTTATGAACAAAAATGAGGAAAATTTGTATTCATATGAATTTAAAAACAGGCTGAAGCGGAACATTGAACCTTTTGGAGAAATTAATGTCATCAATCATCCCATTAATTACTTTGGAATTTCTATCAGATTGAAAAAGACAACACAAAAGTTGACATTTCTTGAAAACGAACTTTTCAAAGCATTCCTCTTTTCTCCATCTGTTTATCGCAAGAGAAGATCAATATTAGAGGATCACGGATTGGAAGAGGTGCTAGAAGAGAAAGTGCTTGAGGAGGTAACTACGGGAATGGATGCTGAGATGGTTGAGGAGGTAACTACGGGAATGGATGCTGAGATGGTTGAGGAGGTAACTACTGGAGTGGATGCTGAGATGGTTGAGGAGGTAACTACTGGAGTGGTTTCTGGGATGGTTGAAAAGTTCTCAAATGATGAAGATGCAAAATTTTCAAATGGAACCCATGTCAACTCAGCATACCATGAGAAGGTGGGAGAAAATGAGACAAAAAGTACATTCCTTAGGGGAAAAAAAACCAATGTGATGGAATCTACATCTATGAAGGAAAAGGAGAATCTGTTTTACGACACAGACTTTCTGCTTATAAGGAGTAGCCTTCCAAAATATAAAAACAAAATTTTTCTGAAACCATTGCATGTGGATGAAAACATATATAAGGAACTTGAGAAGGAGAAGGAAGAATCGATTCAAAGTAGATGTGGTGCTATGGAGTATGGGGAAGGAATGGACAATCATCCTTTTGGAAATGTTCCTACTCAGAACAGCAACTATTGTGATTCGAAAAATGAAATGGTAGAAGGGTACAATCTTTTCGAAAAAGAGATGATTCATCAGAATGGGACGAGATTAATGCACGATGAAAGAGAAAAGAACGATGAAGACAAAACCAACTACCAGGAGACATCGAAAGGAAGGATTGCTCCTTTCGTTTTGTTGGACAAGTGCATCTTCTACAATGTGGGGTTCTTGGACATGCAAGTGGAAATAATGAACCCATCGTTTAAACGATACATTGTAGAAAAGAGAAACTACGTGAGGAGTTGGTTAGTGAAATTAATTGTGAAATACAAACTGAAAGATCCCAAAAAAATTAAAGAAATTTTAAAAATAAAATTGAACGCATTTATAAATGAAAAAGATATGAACGCAATTGTTAAATCGCTAGATTTTAATATGCTATTGAACAAAAATTACATGAATGAAGAAAATGAGAAAAATTTCTTTAAAATAAAAAATGTATGTACCATTGAATGTATATATCACTATTTACAAATGTTAAAATATGAAGGAATCAATTTTAAGTATATGATAGAAAATGAAGATAAATTAAACAAATTAATTTCCATATTGAAAATAGAAAAAGAAAGAGCTAAAAATAATATTGAAAATATAAAAAAAAGAATGAAACTTATCTATCGAAAATATTGCTACAAGAGAGAAGCAAAAACTATAAATTTTAAATTAAAAAAAAAAGATATTCAAATTAGTCCTATAAAAAATTATACATATATTGGAACACACTTTTTTGATGAAAATATGCTGAATTATTTGCTCTATATTAAATACTTAATTTCTTATTCTCCATGGAACATTTTAAAAGATTACAATTTTGCACCCTCTCAAATCGATAAACCTGTAAACCCAGTTGATCCTGATGAAGGGGGAACTCACATCAGTAGCAACAGCAGGAGGAGGAGGTGTATGAGAAGAAGAAGAAGAAGAGGAAAAAAAAAAATAAAAAAAAGTATGGAAATGATAATGAATATAAGAGGAAACATGAATATGATACGAAAAAGGAAGAGAAGGAGAAGGAGGAGGAAGAAGAAGAAGAAGGAGGAGGAAAAGAAGCAGAGGGAAAACAAAAGGAGTTCCATAGGATCTGTGGCAGATCTGTTGAAATGTGATTATAAGAGAAGAGGATCAGGAGGAAGAGACAATGGATTAAATGTGACAAATGGTGGAGAATTTGCATTAGGATCTGATAATGATGACGAAAATGATGAAGAAGCCAAGACTTATGCAAACTCAAGTGATGAATGCAATCGTAGAATGAAAATAAAAGGGGAAAAGAAGACTAAATCAAGGATAAGAAAAGAAAACCAATCTGGATATTTCACTAATGAAGAAGCAAATCATGTGGACTTGGGTCCCCCGTCTTATTCATCTAATGAGGAGGACTTATATCTTAAGCAAGGGATGAAACACCAAAGAGCAACATATGAAAGCACACACAGGAAAGGAGGAGAAGATGGAAATGCAAGTAGAAGGAGGAGAAAAATACAGAATGAAAGAAATAAAAATATGAACGCGACTGATAAAGAAATGAGTGACACAAAATCGGGTTCAAGTATGAATAAAAAAAAAATGAGAAAAAATTATTTCTATGCTATGTATCTATATAATCAAGTTGCATTCAACGAAAAGAAAGTACAGAATGAGGAACTACTAGCACACAAATCAAAAAACAGAAATTATCAAATTCGTATGACACATAGGAAGCAACACATTCACGACTTTAAGAACAACACTAGAATCTTCCCTGCCCAATGGAAAAACAAATGCAAACTGTACGAGCAAAGTAATAATATTCACAAGAAGGAAATATTCAGGAGAGATAAAAATGGAAACAAGAGGATCGATAAAAAAGGAAACCTAAATTATTCTAGAAATAACCAGGGATACTTTTTGCGAGGTAGAGGGAAATGCAACTTTAGTTATTTTCACACGAAGAAACATTTGATCATTGGTAGGAATGATATGAGGAAGGAGAGCAGGGGCGTGGATCCTTCAGTGTCGAACAAGCGCAGGGGAGTCTATGGTGCTGTAGAAGAAGTGGAAGAAGTGGAAGAAGTGGACGAGGCAGACGAAGCGGACGAAGCGGACGAGGCGGACGAGGCGGACGAGGCGGACGAGGCGGACGAAGTGAACAAAGCAACTAGCCGAAGGGGAGGAAATTTCCAAGATGGACAACGATTCTACAATGAAGATAATCCATTAGAAGAAAAGAGAAAAAACGTGCTGGAGAAGAGGAAAAGACAAATGTTAGACATAGAAAGAGGAAGAACGAATGATGAAACTGAAAAGAAAATGACAAGAGGTGAAAACGTACTTAATAATACAAAAATAGTAGCTCATTTAAATTCTAGAGATATAGCTAAGACATTACTGACCATTGGTTTTAGCATGGATGAATTAACAAAAATGAGTAGAAGTGAACAGATAAGTAAATTAAAAAGGTGCATAAGAGAAGGAAGAGTAACGAGGCAAAATAAAATTATATACATATGTATGATAAAAAAAATAATTTTAGAACAATTTAAAAATTTGTATGTACCTGTTCAGTTAAAATTAAATAATAACATCTTATATCTTAGCGAGAGAAAAAATACCTTAACATGTTCATTCACTGATTATCCTTATGGTGCTTCCAATATCGATCGTGCTGCCTATTATGATGAAAATAGAAAGCCCTTAACCAATGTAACTACTTCTACACATTCAGCAGATGACCATTTTGGAAGCGATGATTGTACAAAGGAACATGTATATTATAAGAGAAAGAAAATTGAAAAAAACAGAATTAAGTTAATAAGGAGCTTTTTTCATGCATCTTCAAGTGAGAATGAGGGTTCTTCCTTATACTCATCTTCGGCATCCTCAACATCCACATCGACATCCATAGATGACTCGTCCGATTCTACATCTGATGAGTTGAGCCCCTTGGAGAAGGTGGATCAGAAGCAGGGAAGCACGTGCACTGGTCGTGAACGGAAAGTAGCGAGGGGCAAGGAAGACGGAGGTGGGGACAGCGGTCATAACAGCGATGGTGATGATGATAAGGCTGATGACAATGAAGATGATGATGACGATGAGGAGGATGAAGAAATGAAACACCTAGAAGTAATACGAGAAATACAGACGAAGAAAAATAACTATGAAGACGATGAAAACAATTATAAAATGGTTCATTGTCTGAAGTGGACAAGGGTATACGTTAGAAAAACGAATAATAATGACATTGTTAATGATGAGAACAATGCAAATTTCTCCAAATATGAATACCATAAAGGAAATATGAACAACAGTGATGACATCTTAAACGAGGCTGAAAAAGATGCAAATGTTTTGCTGAATGTGGAAAGGACAAACGTACACACACGTGTTCATTCAGTAGAAAATAAAGATTTATTGGATAATATGAAAAAGGGAGTGTCAAAATATAGTAACAAAAAGGAAGATGATGCAAATATGAAACACCCACTCAAGGATATCGAAAATATACTCATTGATGATAATGACAAAATAGATCATGTACACACCTTGTACATATATGGAGAAAAAAATATCAACACATTTTTGAAATGGAAAAGTTTTAGATGTATGCTTAAAAAATATTTTTCTCTTATAAATAAAAATCATATCAATGCAAATGTGACAACAGATGAAGGAGCAATTAGAGATAAGTCAGTCCATAAGGATTATCCATATGTCGATGAAGATGCGGGTGAAACTTTTGATAAAAGCAATTTCCTCTTCAACAAAATGAAGAAAATAAGATATAAAAAACTTGTCAGCCACGGAGAAATGGAAGGAAAATCAAGAGGAGAAAATGTGTTACCCAACCTTGCTTACTCCAGTTTTAAAAATGTTCTTAGCATATTCCCAACCGTAGGAGAGGAATTAAAAACATGGCATTTGAGCAAAAATCAGACAAATAAAAATGAATTAAAAGTAGAAAAGAAAAAAAAAAGAAAGAAGAAAGTTATGAACGAAAATAATGTAAAAGAGAAGGGAAGAAAAAAACGAAAACGTGCAGAATATTTTGTTGATTCGAACAATAGCGCAATGAAAATTATCAGTAAAAAAAAATATGCAAATACAAATTATTCAATCAATATTAAGAAGAACAACAAATCGATACACACATCTGCCTCTCTTGCGGCATCCAGACGACGAGGGATCCCTATGCTTTCGATTAGTCCAATGCAACAGTTAGAAATCAACAAAAGGGGAAAACGAAGACGAAGGGTTTCAAAATTGAAGTTTATGAAAAATAACGAAGAGGAGGAAGTTGGGGAAGAGACAGAGGAAGATATCGTAGTTGACACAGACGAATGGGATGGGGCTGAAGAAGTGGAAGAGGTGGAACAAGTTGACCAAATGGACCAAGTGGAAAAAGTGGAGGAAGGGGAAGAAGAAAGCGAGGTGCAGAAAGGAAAAAAACACCTGAGGAAACAACATTTATCCAAAAGCAGTATGACTCTGACACACTCCTCTATGAAGGATGACGAGGAGGAGGATGAAAATGCAGATCGAATGAATAAGAAAAAAAGGAAGCGGGGAAGAGAAGAACAGGGAATAGAAAGGAAATCAGAACGTGACGAACGAGCAGAACAAAGAAAAAAAAATTATGAGCTTAGAACAAGCCTTACCACTGCAGCAGAAAAAGACATACGAAGAAGCACGAGTATTATATCAGGTGGAAGCATAAATGAAGTGACCAGATCGAATGACAAAAATGGAGATGAAAACACACGAAAACAAACAAAGAAAGGAAATACATATAATTATATAAAAGAAATTATCGAAAAATTTAACGATAATTTATTATCAATTATGATGAACATTTCAGAAGTTATGAATTATAAAGCTTTTTTAAATGAAGTTAATGAAAGTTATGCCCCCATGTATTACACTGTTGTTCAAAAACCCATGTATATAAATAAAATAATATTTCGTTGTAAAAAAAGGAAATACAACAATTTGAATTTATTTTTTGATGATGTAAATTTGATAGTCACGAATTGTAAGCTGTATAACACTCCCATGTCTGTTAGTGCATATCTCTGTGTCATTGTTGATAATATGTTTTCTGACATTGTGAACAAAGTAAAGACAGATGAAAATCTACAGAATTATAATACTATACTCATGGAGCATTTTTATAAAAATAAAAATTTAAATTATACTTGGGAAACCCAAAACATGGAAGCGAATGATGTTTTTACCGCATCCCTAACTTCATCAAATTGTATGAACAAGACGACAGGTGACCTTTCTTTGGCAAATGCAAACGTGAAAATCCAAGGAGGAGCACACGAAGCAGATGTATCATACGGAGAAGGAAGCCTTTGGAATAATTCCATGCTCTCTTTGGATTTGTTTCCCAGTGACACAGGGAAAATTTCCAATATGACAGAAGAGATGAACTCGAATAACTCCCAATCAAAGGGCGTGGGAAAAAGATGCGGAAGAAGAACAGATCCTTAAATGCGTCGTCTGTGTGTGCACGAAAATTTGCTAACATGCCCCACTATGCATGTATATATATATATATATATATATATATATTTTTTTTTTTTCATATAGCGTGCACATATTTATGCATCAAATCAGCTGATCTGTTCATAACTTTTTGATTGGCAGCTGTGTCACGTGATTTGCCGTATGTACGTTGTAGCATTCTCTAGAATTTTTCGCTAACAGCGTTCGTAAAGTAGCATCCACTAAGTGTGGTGTGAACCAACTGATGTAACAACATTTGGTATGCTAAGATTCTTTCTTCTCCTACCTCTTTGAAGACCCCAACAGGCAGGAAAAGGGAGAAAATTTTTTCCTTAATCTTATTATTCGCCGTTTGAATGAATAGCAGTTTTTTTTTTTTTTTTTTTTTTTTTTTTTTTGAAGGCACATTGGGTCAGGTAAATTGTTTTGTTAGACCTTCTTTTTTACACACTGGTCTCATATTTCACTAAATAAATTATATTCTTGTTAATGGGCCAAATAGTAGTTCATATTTTTTTTTTTTTTTTTTTTTTTTGGACTTCAAACTACTGATTAATTATTATATACACAAAGGAGGAGCAGATGGCATCCATTTTATATTCCTTATTTACTTGTCCATATTTTTTTAGAGCGGCTCAATTTTTTTTTTTTTTTTTTTTTTTTTTTTTTTTAAAATATTTCTGCAGGTGGCATAAAAAAAAAAAAAAAAAAAATGATAATCCCCCCGCCCCGCAAAACGTTGCAAGGCTACGAAAATGGGAAAACCAAAAGTGTAATAAACGTTAGCAAACAGGATAAATTTAAAATGAAAAATAAATTAAAATTACATATTAAGTGGTGAAAACCGAAGTAAAATTATATAGTAATAAGTGGTAAAAACCAAAGTAAAATTATATATTAAGTGGTAAAAATAGAACACAAAATGATACAATAAGTAGTAAGAAACAAATTAAAATAAAATACAAAAAGAAAGTTGTAGCTAAAACGGCAACGTGCTGATGATACCATTTCCTTAAGAAAATCTACCAGTAATTCTAATCAAATTGGGAAGACCTGTTTTCCGCAAAAGTTCCCAGAAATATCTGAAACGGATGATTTATACACACACTTTTTTATATATATATATATATATGCACACACATTTGTATATATATATATATATATACACACACCCTATGTATTTATATGAATTCATTTTTTTTTTTTTTTTTTTTTTTTTTTCTTTTCGTTCACCCATTTACCGCTTCATAATAACTGTCCATTTTTACCCTTTCCTAAAGGGGTATGTGGGAACGCGTACTAACAAGAACAACTAGCACCAACACCCCTTCGGCACTAGCAAGATATTTTTGTTTATCCATTAGTACCACCCAATTTGATGAAAATAATGGTTGCATAATTCACCATAACAAGAGTACACTGAATGGAAAAAGTCATGCATTGAAACTTGTTTGTAATGGCATTCTAAAAAAAAAAAAGAAAAAAAAAAAAAAAAAAAAAAAAAAAAAAAAAAAAACACACCACGTTATTACATCACTAAAGCGTTAAAAAAAAAAAAAAAAAAAAAAAAAATTCCTCTTTGATGACTCAGCACAGTGTCAAAAGGACGTATGAATGCTTGTACACACACCAGAAAATACAGAAAAGTAAAAAATGGCAAGAAGGTTATTGCGAAATTATAGCTAGCTATGGCGTTATAAAAATAAATCTCCTAAATCAAAACAAAAGCTGTATTGAAAGCTCAATAAGTAACATAATAAATTTTCATAATGTTGAAGAGGAGATAGAATTATCAAATCATTTAATTCAATTTGTTGATATTAGCAATTATGTAGAAAATGTAATTAAAAGCGAGACAGTCAAGAAAAGAACGAATGGGTTTACAACACAAGAAGATAAAGAATTATGTAAAAATAAAAAAAAAATAAAAATTATTGAACACTCGGGGATTCATAGTAATATTACTACTTCTACAACGGATAATAAAGTACCCGAAATTAAGAACGATGTTGTATTCCCTATTAGGAAAACAGATAGATATGTGCGAGCCAATAGAAAATTTGAAATTCCAAGAAGGATTGATGAACATGTGGAAATAAATAAGAAGGATCGTTTAGGAGGAGAATATATTGAGGAAACGAGGAAAGGAATGAGGGAAGATGGGACACACAATTCGGAAAGCTATCCTTTGGATGAAACATCTCGTGGTGCATTCCCATTTGAGATAGGAAAAAACAAAAGAGAAATATATGAACAACAAGAGGAAGAACTTAACGAAGAGGGCAACAACGAACAGTTCAGTGTAACTTACACAAACATACACATGTTTAATAAGAAGAAAAATGTAAAGTGGTATGATGGTTACGTTATAAAAAAAAAAAAAAAAGGTGTGTTAGAATTATACAATAATTCAGAAGGAAGGTTGTACATACGAAATTGTGATAACAATATATATAATGAAGAATATGTACAATTTGGAAATTATATTGTATACAATGACTTTTGTTCCAAATTTGTTAAGAATGAATTTTCTTCTCTTTCTGAGAAACCAAGGAGAATTAACGGTATGTCTAAAATTAGGATTATGAAAAATGCTAACAGAACACGTGCAAACTTGCACTGTCTACATGGTGGTAATGTCAGCAAACGTGATTCTGCAAATTCGAACCTGTCCAATATGAAAAAAGAAAATAGCTCAGTTGATCATACGAGCAGGAATTTTGTCAGAGATACGAGCAGCTATTCAGATTCGAACTGCAGTTCAAATTCAGACGCTGGTTCAGATGCTTCCCCATATTTAACTGCTCCAGATCGAAAGACAAACAAAAGCTTGCACACAGATGCAGAAAACTCGCACAAGAAATATTCAAAAAAGGAAGATAGTCACGTTCATAATTCTCGTGTTAAGCATACCCAAATGGATACTCTAACAAATGACAAAAAGGAATTATGCAAAGATGCAAATTTATGTGACAGACAGAATTGGACAAAACAAAGTGATTCCTTGGAGGGATGCACATTTACTCATGTGAAACAGAATGATGATGGACGGAAGGATAAACAAGAATTTCCTTTTTTCAAAAATAGAGATAGTTGCACTGATGTATTTCTTTGTTTACCACGCAATCAGAAACATAACATGTATGAGGAGATAATAAATATAGGGAAAATGGCTATTCAGAATAATTTCTCAACTATTAACACTTTTAGAAATGTTATGAAACTTCGACTAGGATGTAACCTGATGAGAAAGCCTGTGACAAAGAGGAATATTCTCAACTCTGTCTCATTCAAAGTGGCTAGTGATGAACCAAATTATCAAGATGGTCTACAATCCCTTTGTGAGGAAATTTCTCCAAATGAATATACACAAGACATGCACAATATGAGAGAAAGAAAAAATTGGGATAAGAAGCTCGATGGAAGTTCCATGGGAGCAAACTCGAGGATGAAAACAGGGGAAGATGAAGACCAGTTCTCGTCGGAAGAAGACATAAAATCAGAATCTAATTTTGAATCCAACTTAGAAATCGGGCACGAAATTGGTCAAGCGGTCAAGCATGAAATTGGTCAAGTAGCCCAACATGAAATTGGTCAAGTAGCCCAACATGAAATTGGTCAAGTAGCCCAACATGAAATTGGTCAAGTAGACCAACATGAAATCGATCAAGCAGCCCAACATGAAGCCGATCAGGTAGCCAAGCACAAAATTGGTCAAGTAGCCAGACACGAAGCCGATCAGGTAGCCAAGCACAAAAATGATCAAGTAGCCAGGCACGAAGCCGATCAAGTAGCCAAGCACGAAGCCAAGCCAGAAACAAAACCGGAGGAGCGATCGACATTACACCATCTGGTGACTCCACAAAAGAATACCAAAGAAGATGACCTGTGTCCAAATGTGTACGAAATAAAAAACATGAACAACTTTGCTTGCGCGAACAGTGGGTTCAGTGCAAGCGATATTGATAATATCAATAGAGAGAATTTATTCCTACCCATACATGTTATGATATTAAGAGAAAAAGCACATATAAAAAAAAAATTAGATGAATTAAAATATTTTAAAATACCCAATTTTTTTCTGAATAAATCAGAATATATTTCTTGCTTTATGAACGCCACTCTTTACCAAATTTATTACGAAATAGAAAATAAAATTTTATCTGTTCATCACCACTTGATACCTCTGTTAGGTGAGTTAAGTCGTTATTCAGGGTTCAGGGGAAGTAGCCACCTAAGCATTAATGGATCAATGGGTATGGGATGGAGAAATGGACAATCTACGAATTATAAAAGAGGTATCGGATTTCCAAGTGTAAATTTTACCAAGGATGGAAAGTGTGTAAATGAGAACATCACAAGGATTCAAGATAAGAGGAAAAATTACAGCCATGAAGAGGATGATTACATCTTGGCCATGCAAAATGTAGAAGTGATTTGCAGCTCATCAGGAGAAACAAAAGGAAAATTTATAAGTAAGTTCTCCCAAGGGAATAGCAAAAGTATGAAAAGATTTTTTCTTAGAAGAACAGAAAAAAATTTTTTATTTGTAGACAGGAAAAAGAAAATACAACTTACAAAAGATGATGATTTGAATAAATATATACATATGAACCATTTAATTATTATGAGTAAAAATAATTCGTATGTAGAAAATGTCGATTTACTAATTTTTATAACCAAATGGAGCAGGTTCAAGGAGAATCATATCGAGATATATCCATTAACCATAAATACATTTACATATATGAATGAACAATTTGATGTGGAAGAAAATATAAAGTCAAAGGAATTTCTTTATTTTATAAAAAAACACAAAATAAAAACTTTTTCTTCTTGTCTATTTTTGATTAATTTAGGACAATATATAGAAAATTTAAAGCATCTTTTTTACTTTTTTCAAAATTTAAATAAAGAAAAAGTTCCATTAAACAGGTTCTATATCCCTCCTTATATGCCCAAACGAGATATAATAAACCTCGATAGCTTATGCCTCCAACTTGGAATAAAAACACGTGCAAGCGTCTCGTCTTTTGAGTTGATAAATCTGAATAATGTTGACGTTGGGTACAAGAACAAGCTTCTGAGAAAGCTTAAATGGAATGAAAAATTAAACAACAAGCAGAAGCTTGTGATTGAGTGTGTGCTGGATTGGTTCACCTACAGGAAAGAACAGAATCTTAAGCGGAGCCGTAAAGAGAGCCACGAAAAGGGCCACGAAGAGGGGTACAACCAGAACCACGAACTGAGTCATAACCAGAATCAAACTGGGGTTCTACATGACCAGGCCATGGCGAACAGGAAAGAGCAGAATCAGCTCCATGTACCCAATTCCAATCCAGCTTCTGCATCGGATGGAGAAAAATCAAGTGAGACGTTACACCAACGTGGAAGCAGTATCCTTGTCAACGGAATATTTGGATCCGGAAAAAGCACTCTCATATGTAATGTCATATGGTATCTCAACAAAGTATTGGCTTTAGAAGAGAGGAATTCGAAAGGCAGACGTGGTAGAAGTGATGGAAGTAGTCGGAGCGATGGGAGTGACGGAAGACAAAAACTCTTACAGCAACAGATGAACCAACGAAGACTCGGGAGGGAAAAGAAGAAAATCCTACTCATGTGCAATACAAATTTGGGTATAGACAATATCTTGCTAAAGTTAAAATTCGAGTTTGACTTTCATGACTATGCTAGAATAGGAAACATTTTTGAAATAAATTTTTTTTTAATTACAAATTTTATCAGCATCAACTCGAAAGACGAAAGGCATGCTCACGAAGTTAGAAACTACCTGAACAATTTTGTGCACTCTTCAGCAGAAGGCCAAATCGGTGATGCGGTCGCCTCGAAAGATGCACTCGTGTCGAAAGATGCAGTGGTGTCGAAAGATTCAATCGCTTCCAATGATGTAAGCATCTCCAATGATGTAACGATGCCCAATGATGTAACGATGTCCAATGATGTAACGATGTCCAAGGAGGAAACCGCTTCCAGTGAGAAGCTGCACAAAATAAAAGACATGAACACGCTATTGTCGACTCTGAAGAAGAAGAATCAACTGGTTCTGAGGAACAAATACAAGAACAAGAGAGTGATTGCAGGTACATGTAAGAGTTTAGAGATATTTGAAAAATTAAGTAGAATAAGAAAAAGTATTGATTACTTAATCGTGGATGAGTGTACACAAATAGACGAATTGACACTTTTCAAATTTTTCTTGAAATTCGAAATAAAGAAGTTTCTTTTTATTGGGGATGTGAAACAACTAGGATTTGTTTTCAAAAGTCCAAGTGATTTAACTAGAAGCATGTTTTCTAGACTCATCGAAAATGAACTGTTTATTGCATACCACTTGAAAGGGCTCAGTGCAGAATTAGATCAATACGATGACATGCAAATACAGTTCGAAAAAACCATAGATGATATTATGAAAACAGTTAGGAATTTAAACGCAGAAGAATATTTTACTTTAAAAAAACATGTATATGATCATATGTTCGTTTTGCATGAGGATGAATGCAATAAAAATGTAAGTACTACCGATGAGAACATGAAAGAAAGGGGTTCATCACATTATGTGTCCGATTCAGAAGAAAATAAAATTGTGGAAAAAAAAAATCAACCTAAAATAAATGAACTTATACGAATGAACGAACAGTTCAGGTGTCATCCCAATATCAGCAATATATGTAGTCATCTATTTTACAATGGAAAAATTAAAAATGCAAAGTGTACAGAAAAAATACCAATAATGTACCAGAGGTACGAATCACATGTGAATTTAATATTAATCAGAAAAAATCTCAGAGAAATGAAGTTCAATGCACCATTCATCAATATTGTAGAAGCAAATATCATCCTGACCATTTGTGAAAACATGGTAAAGTGTAATATAAACCCTGAACACATTGGAATAATTTCTCTCTTCAAAAACCAAGCGTTTTATATTAAAAATAAAATAAAGAAGTCATCAAATTATACGGTTCTTAGAAATATAAAGGTTAGTACAGTTGATTCTTTTCAAGGCATTGAGAAGGAAATTATTTTCTTTTCTTGTGTCTTGGATGCCATATCATGTGGAGGTACTTCTAAGGGTACGAAGTCTGCTGGAGGCACTGTAGAAGAAATGGGTGATGATAAAGAGAAAAACGTCCATTCCAATGTTGAGATGGATTCGTCCAACTTGTCATCAAACCCATCATCAGGAAACTTTACAAAGGACACTTTCCAATCATTTTATGAAAATAAAAATCGTATAAATGTTGCTCTCAGTAGGGCAAGAAGTCAACTAATAATCGTGGGTCACAACAGTTTTGTTGAACGAAGTAGTGTGTGGAGTTATATCAAATCACAATCGCGAGTTTACTATTATGATTAACCTGAGGAACAGAGTAGATTGGGGGAAAAGGAAAAAGTAGATCTCCAATCCTCCATGTATGCACCAAAGAAAAACATAAAAATAAAAAATTGTGATGATACCAAACCCAGTTGACTACAACGGATAGGGGTACAGGGCAGTGTGACGTGATTTTATTCACCCGTTGCAGCGAATAGTTAGTAAAAAGAAAGGGAGGAGAGAAAGAAAAAAAAAAAAAAAATAAAATAATAAAATAATAAAATAAAATAAATTAAAGCGATGCAGTGGAAAGTAAGACAATGTAAAATATATTACTTTTTCTCCCTTCTTAGAAGGCGTCACTCGCTCTGGCAAAATGAGAAGGAAAAAAAAAAAAAAAAAAAAAAAAAAAAAAAAAAGGATGAAAATACCCATCCTCCCATGAGGTTCATGGATGAATCCCCATGCTACGACCCAATGGGAGTGTCTTCCACTTTGATAGCTCAAACCGAAACGATGTATCGTTTAGCCTCATGCTGCAAGACATTGTAAACTGTGAATGTTTTTTTCTTCGTAAAAGACATGTCAGAATTGGATATAATAGAGTCGTTTGTGTTTTCAGAAGCACATGAAATGAAGCTGTTGCAAGTATTGTCAGATATACAAATAAAATTTGGAAGTGGATACAAAAAAAGAAAAGAAGAATATCTTTTCAGAATTCTATTATCATGTGGAATTGGATAGATATGGCTCTGTCCAACAATGGTTGATATAAAAATATTTTGTAAATTCGTTTTATCATGATTTGTTGCATTAATAGTTGAACTCCAAATTAAATCATTTAAAATATCATGTCTAAAAAAAATCATTTTTTTATTAAAGTGACGAATTCTACATGGGTTTGTAGCAAAAATTATTTTTTTTTCTGAAGAAAAATAAGATTCTATATTTTGCTTAAATTTTTTTACAAAGTAGGGTAAAATGGGTAATTTAGGAATACTATTTTTGCATGCACAAGGATCATTCATTCCTGGAATAAATATCAAATAACAATGTTCCAAAATCAACTTAAATTTAGATATTAACAGAACTGATAATTTCTCAAATCCTTTTATATACACATTGTGAAAATTTTTATTATAATCAAATTTCAAGCTCGAAAAATCACCCATAAATATGAATCCAATTGGTAATGCATTCTCTGGGTATGTATTCACATAAAGAGAAAACATTTTTTCCAGAATTTCAAAAGTGTATGGGCTGTCTAAATACACATCATGCATAATTATCCAGTTCTGATTTTTCTCATTTTGTTTTACTATAATTTCATACTCTTCTACTTCTTTCTTTTCCTTTTCATTTTCAAAATCATAGAAAAGGTCTTCTTCGTTCCGCTCGTCTTCGTAATTCCTGCGATTACGGTTAGCCATAAATTGGGAAAAAAAAAAAAAAAAAAAAAAAAAAAAAAAAAACCAAACAGTGGGGAGAGAAATCTTTAGTTCATGTCACGATTTTCATCTTTGGTTCAGAGGTCTACGACACATTGGTGTGTAGAGACTCATTCCTGTACGAATCATCGGTGTGGCATGAGTTAGTGTACCTGGGTGGGTGCATAATTTCAGCAACATAAAATGTCTTGTTGAGAAGCTTCATGCGACCTTGCACTAGTATAATATGCCCTATGCAGTAGAGACCATGGTTGATCTGACAATCTTTGTTAAGGAACAACTTGATCTGGTTTCTTATTCCTTGTATTACTATATCTCCATCTCTGTCGAGTCCGAGTATTCCAATAATGTGTTGATGACCTGTATTGGTTAATTTGATTGCATCTACTGAAGTGATAATGGTTTTGTTTTTAATATGAATTTCATTTAATGCATCAGACCAGAACAAAACAGATGCATGCCCTTTAGCCTTTTTAATCAACAAATGATATTTCAATTCATAAAACTCTACATCTGTATTTGCATCTATATAATTATTATAATTTTCAATTGAATCTCTTTTTTTTTTCTTAAAAAATTTCATTTTCTTTTCATCATAATAAAAATGAGTCAAATCTAAAAAAGTGTTCAAAACCTTTACTCCATCATTATACTTTTCCTTATACACTTTTATCGATTCCTCAAAAATTTTATTCTTATAATCAAGTATTATTTTTTCTATATCCTTCGTTGTTAAATTATCAGATTCGAAGTAATTGCTTCTACATTCACTTACGATGTAGTAAATCATATCCGAGTCAAATTTAGTGATATCTACCACATTTTCTTGTTCCTTATTTCCATCTTTTATTACTTTTTCTTCTTCTATGTAACTATGTTCATATATAAAATGTAAGCATTCTAAATCTACGTTTATTTTATGATCGTATAAATATGCGTAAAGAGAAATGTGACTAATGGACCCATTAAACGCTAGAAAAATATCATCAATGATGCTTCCTCCTTCATTTTTTATTTTTATTATATGTTCTTCGATGTTCATCAAATACAGGTTTATGTTTCTTATGTCATGATGACACCTCCCGTTTTCAATAAACTTTTCTCTTTGTTCTTCATCCATTCTTGTTTCATTGGAAAGAAGAGAAAAAAAATAAAAATAAAAAAAAAAAAAAAAAAACACTTCCTTGCCTCGTTAAACGTTTAATCAATTTTTGAAAAAAAAAAAAAAAAAAAATTGAAACCAAAACGGGTAAGCAGTGCAAAAATATATCCCACCTATGTCTGTTTTAGTTTTGTTCTATTTTTAAGTCAAAGAGCTACGATGTGTGAAACTCCATTAGCTCGTGTAAATGGCTGGAGTATGCACATACTTATATGTTTTTTTTTTTTTTTTTTTTTTTAATTTTCTCCCTATTAGACCACTTTTTTCAAATTTGAAATGGTTGCATTATTGGAGGAGAGAAGTTCAAATACCTTGTTTCTTCCATTCGTTCTTATTCTCTGGTTCACGCCCTTTTTTTTTTGCATATTTCAAGGTAGATACCTCACAAGTGGAAATGCAAAAAAAAAAAAAAAAAAAAAAAAAAAAAGGAGTGTCAAAAAAATGTTCACACATGCATATTACACTAACACACAATTTTCGATTATCATATTGATCTACTACTGTGTGTCTCATATCAGGACAGGAACAAATTATTTGCATTCGCGAACATGTCACTTATTTCTTAATTATAGAAAAATAATATCCTACTTTGAAAAATTATAAATCCGTAATGAGCCAAAACTTTTATTTTATTTTGTTATATGTTTCCTCTCCCCCCTTTTAAATAGGGTACATAGACATGCACAGAAAAAAATGCTGAGTAACTGTTTCCCCTATTTGGAGGGAAACGTGGTATTTGTGAGCGTGCACATAAAAAGGGCAGAGGGGACAGATTGATAAGGAGAGAGAGTGAAAGCTTCAATATTTTTTTTTTTTTTTTTTTTTTTTTTTTTTCACGAAAGAAGGATTGTATTTTACATGGGATTTCATAATCCCAAATGCACAAATTTGTGAAAAGCTAGGTATGAGAAAAAAAAAAGGCCTAAATTTTTTCTCATTTATTTTTATTTTATTTTACCTCATTTATTTCTATTTTATCTCATTTTATTTTATTTTATTTTATTTTTTTTTTTTGTGCTGTATATTAATAATAAAATAACTAGCAGTCAAGAAGATCATGGGAGAAAATAAAAAAAAAAAAAAAAATTCAATAGACATGTATGGGGATCCTCCCTTTTTTCTTATGAATTATTTAGCGGTTGTTTTTTTTTTTTTTTTTTTTTTTTTTGCACCATTTACACTCCAAGAGTTAGAGTAGCGAGGTCTTTGAAATTAATATTTTTCCAAATGAAGCCATGTCAAAAAGTAAACAAACAGAACTGTGAAATATTTTTTATAGGTTCTAGTTGAGAAACGAATAAAATGTAACTCATAGGAGAAAATTTCACTAAGTGTGTTTCTTATGAAAAAAAAAAAAAAAAAAAACTAAAAAAGTAAATGCATTGTATCAACATGGGGATACGTAATTATGGTTTTTTTTTTTTTTTTTTTTGCATCACTCAAGCGTGTAGATTGTACTTAACTGTTGCAAACATAGAATGTACGTGTGTTTTGTGTGCGTAAACATGCACAGGGACATTTAACTCTACTTGTTACAAGAGTAACGAAAAGTTAGTTACATTCTCTAATCACTCAAACAAAGAAAAAAAAGCCTCCAGTGATTCCTCCTACAAAGGTCAAAGCACCAAGGCCCATTATGATGGCTTTATTTTCCTGAAAAAAACCTTTTTTCTCCACAGGATCCTTCAAAATAGGGAATGTGAATGGGCATGATATTCTTGTACACGGACATGTATTTTCAGGTGTGCATATTGTCAGGTGTGCATATTGTCAGGTGTGCATATTGTCAGGTGTGCATATTGTCAGGTGTGCATATTGTCAGGTGTGCATATTGTCAGGTGTGCATATTGTCAGGTGTGCATATTGTCAGATGTGCATATTGCCAGGTATGTATGTGCTATTCTCAGTTCCAAACCAAATGAGTATCCTGTTCCAATGGGTTCTTCACTACCGGGGGTAAAACAACTCCAGAGGTATCGTCATCCAACACTTCTGAATGGCAATCAGATCGACTTACTCCTGTGATGGGGAATGAAATGGGATCATATTTTCTTCTTCACGGGTGTGAGGTGTGCGTATGTCTGTGTCTGTCTCTGTGTCTCTGCCTTCTACCCCTGACCGACGAACGAGGCACAGAACATAGCCAGCAGAAAACAGAAGCGCGACTGAATAAATTACCAAGTTTCCCATTTTCGTTATCGAAGATGAGATATTTGTTCAGAAAAAAGGGAATGCCCAAGCTGAGCACATTCGAAGAATTTATCAACACCCTGTATACACCTTCGCTAAAAAAAAAAAAAAAAAAAAAATTTGTACAAAGTGTCCAAGTTCTTACATGAGGTATATGAATAAACATGTAAGGAAATATATTCAAGTCTTCATCACAGCTCCATCACGACCGTATGCTCTTATATATGCAACCATGGGGATTGCACCCCCATTTGTGAAGTGATCTGAGATTAAGAGTACCCTTCGTGTATTATATAGTCATTAGGTTCAAGTATCACCTCCTCATCTCTGTTGAGGTATAAAAAAAAAAAAAAAAAAAAAAAAAAGGAATAGATGTTCACACAGAGAAATAACACATAAGCATGTATACATTTGTATATGTGATCGGATGTATCTATAAATGAGACGGGGTAAAGCAAACATAGCAAAACTGACAATGGCAGTGGGTGGGCATTGCTTAAAACTAGTTACTACTGGATTAGACATACTCAAAAAAAATCTCTATTTTGGGAAAATTTTCTATATTTTGTTTTCTTAATGTAAAAATTCCCTTATCATTGATCTCTGAGCAAATGTTCCCTTCGCCAGTGCAGGATTTGTGAATAGCAGCTTTCAACTTTGCAGTGGTTGCAGCAGGGAATGACAAGAAGTAGTTGTCTGAACAAGAGGGGGAAAAGGGGAAGACAAAGATGATGACGAAGATGAAGATGCTAGTGATGAGCTTAAAATAACTTTATGTGCACACTGAGGAATGAAGTGGTCATATATTTGTTACTCAAAATGAAAAAAAAAAAAAAAAAAAAAAAAAAAAAAACGTTTTACGCACATCATTATATCCTCTCATTGCGCATACACGAATCTACGATGGCAACCTCATTCAGAGTATTTTCCACCGTTTCCGACCCCGAGATCATATTTACTTCTTTTAAATGAAGCTTGTATGTATCTTTGTGTAACTCTGAATAATAGATCCACGTAATATAATTTGAAATATCAAAATCAGACATTCCTGCATATCCCTCTTCTTCTCCTTCCATATCTTTAGTACGTATTTTAGATTTTGATAAACGAGATATTTTTGTTAAAGCTTTATGATTAAAACCACCAAAGGAAGCAAAACCTCCTTTTTCAACGAAGCATAATCCAAAGATGTTTTTTTTAGACGAGGATTTTTGAATAAAGGTATTTAATATGCTAGGAAATTTACTTACATGACCACTAGTAGGATTCTTATTATCATACGCTAATCCTATAAATCCAGATATAACATCATTAAATTTCAAAGCATCAGCCTGTGTTATACAACCGAAATAACTATAATCACATCTGTTATTGAAAATATCGAACGAATCTTCAAAATAAAAACCTTGTACTTTGTCTGAGCCAAGTGTTGATTTGAATGAACAGACAGACATATTTCTATCATCTATTTTATTCTTTAAGTTTAAAAAATTCATATCATTTACATAGTTACAAAATCTCTTGGTACAATTTTTTTTTCGTAAACTAAAATCATGTATCAATTTAAAATAATTTTCAAGTGTATCACAAGTATTATTTTGACCTATATCAGTGCACTTCTCACTATTACAATTCACGTATTTAACATCTTCTGATGCATTCACGTCATACTTTACATTTCCCATTTCATCACCTGAAGTAGAATTGTATGAACAGTAAAGAGCACTTATAACAGTAGACGTAACAATAGCTAAATTAACGGGCGTTTTTTTTGATCCCATCTTTAACGGAATACTCCACCTGAAATTCTGTTCATTTAATGTTAAGGTTAAAAAATCCTTTTCTTCTTCTTTTTCTTGATCTTTTGCTTGTATTAGCGATTTCCCCTTCTTCCCCCTACTCGTAAAGTTCACTTTGTTCGTTGAAATTTCCCACTCCCATTCGTTATTCCCAGGAGGGAAATTCTTCATGTCATGCCCACTGCTACAAAATTTGCATCGCGTCTTCTTTACCGATTCACCAATATGGTATGTAGAACAAAGTGTTACATCGTATATGTAGAAAAGGAAGACTAAAATAGAAAGCATGTCAAAATAGATTGCGCCCATTTTTCTCTGCTTGTAATTTTCTTCATAGGAGGTAAGACGGGGGAGAAGCAAAAAAAATAGGAAGAAAAATTGGTAGAAAATTGGGAGAAAATTGGTAGAAAATTGGTAGAAAATTGGCAAAAAATTGGTAGAAAATTGGTAGAAAATTGGTAGAAAATTGGTAGAAAATTGGCAAAAAATTGGTAGAAAATTGGTAGAAAATTGGCAAAAAATTGGTAGAAAATTGGTAGAAAAATAGGAAGAATTAAAACTAGTATTTTCCACTTTGAATATATTAGCTCAAAATGAGCAATTATGACATTTTCTTTTCTTCTCTCTAATGAAGAAACAGAGACATGTGTGTGGAGTTATTAATTTGTGTGCCTAACAAAGATAAAGTTGTTTTTTTCCTTGCGGTTTAGAAAAATAAATAGGGAATGCAAAGTAAATTCACAAAAATGTATGACCAAAAAAAAAAAAAAAAAAAAAAAAACACCAAAAAAAGCAAGCAAAAAAATGAAAAAAAAAAAAAAAAAAAAAAAAAAAAAAAGGGGAAAGACAAATACCACAGATCTTATAGAATGAGTGAAAAACATGATAACGGAAATTCAGATGTAGTTTTCTTGCATTTATATCACTATTCCCCCATCGCACCCCCAAAAAAAACGGGTACACAAATATTTTCATACTATTTACGTCCTCACAAATTAGCAATGTTTTCTGATTTGACTTTTTCCTTGTTCATGCGAGAAACGAGTCCATTTTGCGGGGTGCAATATTTTTAATTTATTTCATGCTAGTTATTTTGCGCTATTTATTTCATTTTACTTCATTTTATTTTGTTTAATTTTGTTTAATTTTGTTTAATTTTGTTTAATTTTGTTTAATTTTGTTTACTTTTTTTCCGAATCGAGCGAAGCCTTGAAAATGTTAGAAAATGGTCACAAGCTGCGTTAATTCGACGAGGGGGGGAAGGAGGATCATTTTACCTTATATCACTTTGTTGTACGCACATGTAAATGCAGTAAAAATGGCTCTTTAAAAATGGGTTATTCTTAAAACACATTATAATGCCCCCAATACAAAAGACAATTAAATTTCAGAATTAAAATTCAGCAAGCAACATTTTCTGTCTAAGAAATATTAGAGAACCCTCACCTTGGCCTATGGGTTATGATGGTGCATCACCACATTCAAACGATTGTTCATCCGGTTGTGAATAGCTATTTTTTTTTTTTTTTTTTTTTTTTTTTTTTTTTTTTGTACATCTTCGAAGATGCTTCAATTTGGTTACACTACCTCCCCGAGGTATCGTAGTAATTTCGTGCCTTGTATCTCCCCCCGAAATTTGCCTCATTTTGACGCTTCACTTTGCTATACTTTTCTTTCAAGGATATATTTGCACTAATCACATCTTTCATAATCACTCTCTTTGAAAATTCAGTTGGAATTCCCCCTCTTTCAATTGTGTCTCCTACAATTTTTATTTTTTTAACTGGCGTTATTAAATTCATGTAGGAACTTTTATAGAATTCAATATTGTCATACTGAAAGGATAACACATCGTATATAGTTATGGGTTGATATATCATATTTTTAATTTGAATAATTTTAGAAACTATACTTTTCATCTCGTCAGAATGCAAATTGATTAGAGGAGACATGAACATGGTTTGCATTGTCATGTAGTGATTTAAAAATAAGTAATAATATCTCAATTCATATTCGTTATTATATTTTTCTATTAATTTTTTTAATATTTCTTCTGTTTCTTTATTTATTTTTTGTTTAATTATTATATCTTCATTTTGCATGCTTTTACTTTGAATGTGTAAAATGTGCTTTAGGTACTTCTCATCCAAGTATTCATTTTCTTTCCTCTTCCCTGTGAGCTCATGAGTAGAGGTTAATTCAAATCCAGAAGAAATTACATTACCTTTTTCTTCTGTCAAATTTTCAATTTGTACTAATTCCTGTTTTATTTTCTCCCAGTTCATATTGCCCTTTTCTAGATGTCCCCTCTTTGTAATGCTTCTGATTTTGTCTGAGCCCTTCATCTTCTTATCCCTCTTCTCTTTCCCATTATGATATAGTAAACATAACAAGTCAGCTAAAATTTCGTGCAGAAAATCTATTCTTTTTTCATTATCATTTGAATATACTTTATCTTTAATAATGTAATTTCTGCACTCGCAGAATTGAGTAAAGATATTGTTAAAATCTTTATCATTCTCTATTATACAGGACTCCGGATCTAACTCCTTTATATCTTCGCTCACGCTTTTTAATATGTCAAAATAGTAGTAATCATCTAGGTACAGTAGTACGTCATATTTTAGGATGTCTTTTCTATTTCGGGAGAAAATGCTTTTGTATATTGTTGTAAGCAATTCGTGTATCAAATCTATAGATGTTATCATTTTGCTTTTCCACATGTGTACTATTCCCTGAAACCAGGTTCTTATTTTTTAAATGTGTTATTCCTTAGAGTAGGAGAAATTTTCCATTCAAAACCATAAAAAAAAAAAAAAAAAAAAAAAAAAAATGACTTATTATATGTGCCCCTTTTGGGGACATCTCTCAGTGAAATGGAAAAATGAACTGAACATGCAGGCGCTAACCACGCCACTCTGATTCTTCAAATCGGTGAATTGAAAAAGGGGGAAAAAAAAGCGACGAAAAAAAAAACAACTTTCGTCGAAAAAGCGAAGAAAAAAAAAAACAACTTTCTTCGAAAAAGCGAAGAAAAAAAAAAAACAACTTTCGTCGAAAAAAAGTGGAACATGCGATGAGATAACAATTCCCGCTTGTACGTAATATTTCCTTTCTGGGACACAAAGCACTGGGTTATCGCACGTTTTTACAGTTATCTACAATAGAACATCTACTACCCCCTCCCCATCATGTCGAGATGCAAATGTGTATTGATTTCTCAGTTGTTTATTCGCTTTGTTGCAAATGTATATGCTTCAAAAATGTTTATCATAAAAAAAAAAAAAAAAAAAAAAAAAGTTTATGCTTAAAAATTACGATATGTGAAACAAAAGTAGAGTCATTTTTTTTTTTTTTTCTTCTTTTTTCTCATGATTTGGCAAACTGGAGGTGGAAAAGGCGTCCTCAGAATTCAAATGTTTCGTCGTAAACAAGGTGCATATATATAAAGCTGTGCAACATGTGAAAAATGCACGTTATATGTATAAACAGATGTAGAGGTGCATATGCAGGGGATATGCATACAGAATCGATGGTTATACACACAAGCACGTGTATGGCCTAAAAATTATGTTATAATAAAAACACTGCAAACGAGGGGGGCTTATGCAAAAGAACATCCCATGGCCAAGTATTGTGGATGTGTATTCTGTGTTCTTCACGATAAGTATTTAAACTTGGAATCTTCCTGATTAAGCTGAAAGACGAAGGAGGGAAAAATTCCTCTTGCGCCAATTTTGAAATTTAAAAACATATTAATGTTGGATAGAAGAACACCAAAACCGTATGCAGAATTGTAAATCTTCTTTTTACTTTTCAAAAAGTTTAATTTGAGATAATTATACATGTCCATATTTTTATTTGTCTGAACTAATGAGGTTGAAGTTTTGACAGATTTAGGGGATGAAATACTGATATGTGTACTACCATCCCCTACACCAAACAAATTGCAATTAAGAAAAAGATAAAACTTCAAGTTCAGCAAGTTTAAAAAATAATTGTTGAATAATACAGGGAATATTAACTTGTAGTTCATCATAAGGTTCATTTTGTCAAGATATTCCTTCTGTGCGTCATTCAAATTAACGCTGTTCACTTGGTATGTACTAACGGTTGGAGTACTCATTGAAGATGAACCCCCCTCCATGCATGGTACCTTCACATGCTTAATATCTTCGTCAAAATTAGGATCTGTCCTGTATAGATTTTTTTTTGTTTTCATATTGAACATCTCCTTAACTAGGTTATAATAGAACCATTTGTTCTTTTCATTTTTACCTTGTTCCTGATGAGAAGACGACAACCATTGTTTATAATTCCACAGATTTTTTTTAAAAAAAAATTTTATATTTAACAATAGGTAAACATCGTTCAAAATTAATTTGCACATGTACAATGGGACAAGAACGACATGTTTGTCTTCAGTAGGTATTAGTTCTCCCTTCATCGTTGGATTTCTTCCCTTTCTCTTAATGAATATATTTTTTGCCTTGACGAAAAAATTGAATACTTTAACTTTATAATTCTTGTGAAAGTAAAAGGAATAATTTAGGTACATGTTATTTATTTTACCCAACATGAAACCGGTTTTCCAGTTATTTGCATTTTTAAAAAAAGACGTTAAGTCAGAGTGCAGATTTGGAGATTTCTCACTTGCATGCCCATCCTCGTGTGTAGAGACAAATTTTCTATCCATATTGAAATAAAAAACCAAATCCATTTTATTTTTTATGTTAAAAAAACTTTTCATAAAATTCGATTTTTCAAATAAATTGGAGGAACATGCATTTAAACAGCTGGATATTTTTAATTTGGATCCATAAATGTTGTAAAGACTGTTAAACAACACTCTATCGTTTTTACTTTTAAAAAATGAAAAAAATTGAAGTGGTAGTAATTTTCCTATCCTCTTTCTCATACTGCTCATGCTTCCTGTCTCAGAAGTCGAGGGTGGTGTAAGTATCTCCTCCTTACCATTGTAAATTTTTAAAAAATACAAAAAGTTGTGAAACATGTTCTTTTTAAGTTTTATTTTTAATTCAAAGATGGTATTGTGGATTCTTTTAATAAAAAAAAGGAAAATTTTATTTTTGCACAAGTAACTGTAGATATTTTTCTGCTGTGTAGAATCTCCAGATGAAGACAAAGGAATAAAAGACTGACGTCCTGATTTGTAAGAATTTTCTTGTGCTTTTTTTTCTCCTTCTTCTTCTTCCTGCTCTCTCTTTTCCCTTGTGATAACACTTTCATTACCTTGCCTCTTCATAACATTTATACACTCATTTAAGGTCGAATTGTTTAATTCATTCTTGTGCACATTACTTATGTTAATTCCGTAAATGGAATAACTTGGGAAATTATTCTTCAGTTTCTCCAGCTCCACAATGTCGTTTAGAAAAATCAAATTGTAATCATGTTTATCATTTTTATAATTCAAATTTTGAAAAAATTTCAGCCTGAACTTGTCAGAATAATTAATACTGTGCAGGTAAGCAAAAGTTATATTTATGCAAAATTCTAAAAAAGAGTTAAAACTTTTTGATATACTTGGGATAAATGTCACCTTTTTATTTTCCATCAGGTTTATATCTAATATATGTTTGTTTTTCATCTTATCATAACGTAACTTTACATGCACAAAATTAAATACACTGGATTTTACAAGGACCTCAAACATTTTTTCATCCCATACGAATATACTCTTTTCCTTTATGTTCATTTTCTTTTCGAAAAATCTTTTCAACTTGGTTATTACATATCCCTCCTTTTGCACCTCGTACTTTGACATGTCTTTAATATGGTCACCACTGTTTACTGTGCTTTTACGTTCGAACAGAATTTCGTTTTCCCCCTCCTCCACATTTCCTTTGTCGCCGCTGGGTTGTGCTGACAGTGACGTGGGTGTTTCTGACAATGATGTGGGTGCTTCTGGCAATGATGTGGGTGTTTCTGACAATGATGTGGGTTCTGCTGGCAATGATGTGGGTTCTTCTGGCAATGATGTGGGTTCTTCTGGCAATGATGTGGACCGTGCTTCATTTTGTGCTATGTTTTGTTCCCCCTCTTTTGGCACACCTTGCTGTGCATGTTTCGTTAGATCTGGGGTAGAAGGAACAGATGGAACTCTCGCAGTCTTGGTACTAATTCGGTAGAGACTAATATTAATAGACCCCTTTTGAAGAATTAATTCCTTCACATAAATGAGCAAAATCTTTTTGTTGCCATCTTTAGAGATTTCATACTTAAGGACATGAGAAAAGAGATAATTGGAAGAGGCATAAAAGTCATCAATAATTTTTACAATAGTGTTAACATCTTTATATCGAACAGTGTGAATATTTGCACGTTTCAGCAAACTGGAAAGGACACTTGGGGTAATGACGGTACTGTTATTTATCACTACATTGTTTATAATTTCGTTATTATCTTTCGATGTGAATTTTTGCAAGGCATTTTTAAAATTGAATTTGTTTTCCTTCTCATTATTTTTTTTCGAAGAATAATTGTTGTTCGATGTGGTAATATCGTTCCAAATTTTTTTTAATTTATTTTTAAGAAAAAACAAATTTCTATTGTTTGTCTTCTTTCCCTTATAATACACACGTGTCCTTTTCTCATGGTAATAATTTCCATTCGATAATATTGCACCTTGGTTGTAATTATTTTTTATTGTTTCTTTGCTTATTTTCCTACATTGTGAGCTTAACAAGTTCGTGAAAATAATTATGCACACACAAAATCGAAACACATTTTTCATATTCACGGCTAACGGGCAGGAGTGTCAAGGGATGTGTGTAAGGGGAAAAGGAAATAATCAAGGGGGAGAACGTGTTGGAGGTAATAAGGGTTTATATATCTTCATGAGTTTCGGAACTTGAAAAAAAAAAAAAAAAAAAAAATGGCCTATACAACTAAGTACTCAAGCTGACCATTGTGTTATGCTTGGGTAGTAAATACATGTTATCACACCTTATTGTGTTGCATTTATTCGATTATTTTCCACTTTTTTTTTTCTCATTTTTCTTTGCTATTTTTTTTTTTTTTTTTAGGGACTTCCGTAGTTCATCAGATTATTACTGCGGGGAAAAATCGTAAGATTGTATACTTTCAGATAATCAACATTTGTGCTTTTAAATTCGCCAAATTTCATTTTGCATCCTCGAGCATCTGTAGTATACCAAGAGAAAAAAAAAAAAAAAAAAAAAAAAAAAAATTCTTTCGAGAAAATGTAAAAAAGGAACAATGCAGAATGAAACTAAGCTGCTTAATGCCAAGACCAATGTATGGAATATTTCCCTTTTTTCTACCACCCCCTATTTTGCCAAAAAAAATAAAATAAAATAAAATATTACACAAAAAGTGCGTTATATATATATATATATATATATATACTTAAATAATTGAAAAAAAGTTTCTCCTGTTAAATGTGATAGTGTGGAAACCACGCCTCCCATGAATATTTTATTATTCCCAGCAGTAGCGGCATCACACACTTCATATTGTTTTTGATTCCTCTCAAAAATGTGCAACCGTATCGAGCAGATATACACTCATGTGTATGTCCATAATTTCTATTCGAGATTATTTGCAATTTTGCAAAACAATGAAAAAATATGAACAAATTCTCAAGTGGGAAAAAAAAAAAAACAACAAAAAAAATATGAGCATATTCTCACGTAGGGGAATAAAAAAGATTATCCTGTAAAACGTGTATTTTTTTTTTTTTTTTTTTTTTTTTCCGTATGTCTTCATGAGATGACCCTACATATGCCACAAGCAACAGTGTCTATGGCTAGAGTTTTCCACGAGGGAATCTCTTTATGCAATTTCCTTTACCGAAGTATGTCAGAAATGCTCGAATTTGCCTGTACATGTCAAGAAAGCATAAAAAGACGTTCCGTGTGTGTCAATTTTGCCTTCCCCACCGCAAGACTTCACGGATTTTGAAAAGCTGTGCTAGGTAATTGTGAAACTCAATGAGGGACACGGGATGGAAGGGGTAAAAAAAAATAAAATGAACAAATGAACAAATGAACAAATGAGCAAATAAAGAATTGCCAAAAAAATGGCGAAAGTGAAAGTGTTGCAACGTGTCACAGCAAGGCAAAATGAAGTATGGATACGCAAAGCCACAAAAAGGTGAACCACAAAACAGAACCTAAAGTGGAAAATCACAAAACTGATCCTCATGTGGATAATCACAAAACTGAACCATTCCACTAGAAGAAGGAACCGATACGTTGGGCATACTGGGAGGCATAATGCGAATTGTAAAATCGTAGAGTTTTTAAGCGTCCAAAATTTACATCGTGGTACACCTTTTCCGTTTGCCAGTTAGGGGAATAATTCAAGGAGCTTCTACCACATGGCCACCTAACACTACATTCATGAGAAAATTCTTGCTTTTGTAAAAATGTAAAATCAGTCAAGTCGTAGAGTTCCTCTCGACACTTCCCCTTCCCCGTCCTCTTGCCATTATCATTGCCATTGTCACTGTCATTATCATTGCCATTGTCGCTGTCATTATCATTGCCATTGTCGCTGTCATTATCATTGCCACTATCACTGTCATTATCATTGCCACTGTCACTGTCATTACCATTGTAAAGCGGAGGAGGTTTACAAAAAACAGCATGAGAATTCCTTTTTTTTTTATAAGGGATATTTTTCTTCCGCTTTACAAGTAACCATTGTTCTGGACAAGGCTGTGACCAATCTTGTTGACAAGCATTTTTGCATGGCCATGGTGCAAAACATTTATTTGAAAAAAGATATTTATCAAATGTGCTGAATGATTTCACAGAGAAGGATTTGTGGCATCCTCTTGGAGGTTTGTAATAATATGGAGATATACAACTATTATTTTTCAAAAGCCAATTATAAGGGCAAGTTTGATAATAATCTTGTTCGCATTTGTTTAAGCATGGCCAAATAACTTTACATTTTCGTTCTATTTCTTTTTTTACCTGTACACTGTTGTAAATCTCAATCACGAGACATTCGTTTCTTTTACCTAGTTCTGTAGCTGTAGTGGTGCCATTAGTTCTTTCACCCAGTTGATGTTCTTCAACCCAATTGTGATTAACACAGATGTAAATTATCCCATCACCATATATGCTACCTGAACGTTCATTTATGAGTTTATATCCAAGAGGACAAATAGACGAATAATTTTTTTCACATTGGGAAAAACAAGGCCAATCAGATTTACATAAGTAACTCCAATTCCGTCTAATACTAGGAGTTGCATACTTAAAATTGACATTCGTACCACATACTCCTTTTAAATGCATTGGATAATCTTCTGGGGATTCACATGATTCATCATTTTTCTGAGTCCATCCGAGTGGACAATTGACTTGAACATAATCCCGTTCACAATCAATGCAAGGAAATTGTACATTACATTTTTTCTCAAAATTTTTTATTTTTTCTTCATCCATTGTTACAAAAGACATATCATGTGTTACTGAATACACACTTTTCGTCAAATCATTTAAGTTCAATATGGTACTGCACCTTTCTACATTCTTTCTATATGAACTCGGGGCCATACATTCCTTTGCACTTATTTTTATCCACCCAATTGGACATTCTGTGTAATTTTTTTCGAAACAAATATGTTCATAATACGATTGATCTGCTGTCCCTTCGATTTGATAATTTGTGTATAAATTTTTTATTTCATTTAGGTTTTTCTCATCTGTTAGTTGTTCCGATATGATGAGATTATGTTCATTCATTCCATCTTCGTTTCTGCTTTTTTTTTCTCGGTCCCAATCCTTTTCCAGATTCAAAGTTCCTGGAGTTCCTGCTTCTTCCATATCAGTGGTCGACTTACCCACGCCCGATGTTTCATTTGTACTCCTCCTTATGCTCGCTTTGGATCTCACCTGAATAAATGAAAAGAAGTTTTTCTCCACATGTTCATTACGTCTTAATGTTCGTATAACCTCATCTATATTTCTCTTCAATTCATCATCATTTGATAACTGCTTCAGTAGAAGAAGATCCGTTATTTTTTCATCACTAAGAATAAATTCGTTTGTATTCATATTGCCTATATCAGTCACATTTATGTGTCCCCTTGACAATCTCAATGATGATTTATTTTGTGGAAGATATTCTACATTGTTTAGTGCATTAAGAACGACACCTTCGTACATGGATCCGACATGTCCTATTGGACCATCACTCACTGAAGGTGTATCTGTGAGAGGGGTAATATCCTCCGTATTATTATTCCTTTCTCTATCTAAGCCAAAAATTTTTCTCTTTTTTGTTGTATTCATCATCACATGGTTATCATTTATGTTGTCCATAAAGATAACTTTGCAACGAAATGCCCATGCAGCTTTCATTTGATTTGTGTAATTTTTAAAGGAAAATATATTGTTACATGGTTCAGTGTATTCCACAGGTGCTATGCAGATGTGTTCTACTGCATCTACTAGAACCCAATTAAAAGGACAAGGTAAATCAAAATTCTGATATTTCTCATCTGTAAAATGCCACATAATGTTACATTTTTGGGAAATTTCATACTTTTCTTCTTTGCTAAAATTTTCAAAGGATATATTTTTTATTTCTTCATTTTTTACACATGGTCCATCGTATGAATCTGGCATAGTACAAGTTCCCATTTCTTTCTGATGTGAAATGTTCATTTTCCAACCAACTGGACATGCATATTCATTTAAATCATGTTCTTCAACACTCGATCGAATAGGCCATTCTATGTTACACTTGTTCATCAAGAGTTTTTTCTCTTCATCTTTAAGATTGTATAAATATAAAACACCTCCACAAGGCCCAATGTAAGAGTTAGGAGCTAAGCAATTTTTATTGTCTGGATGTTGTATCCAATTTTGTGGACATAGAATTTCAAAATTGTAATTTTTCTTGTAGCATGGCCAGTTCACATCACATGCATCTGCCCATATCTTTTTCTCTGTTTCTGAAAAATTCTGAAAATTTTTTTGACGCACACATTTTCCTATATAATTTCTAGGAGCATAGCATGTTCCATTTTCTAGGATCCAATTTTCGGGACATTTGCCTGAAAAATCTTCTTCACTGCATTTGTAAACACATGGCCATGATACTTTACACTTTATGGAAAAGTTGTATTTTTCTCTAGGTGTTGAATTCTTAAAAGAAATCATTTCTTTTTTACAAGGTCCTCTGTAATCCATTGGACTTATACAATTCTCTCCGTCTCCCCAATTCCCCCATCCCTCTGGACACAATTCTGAGTAATTCATTTCGCATGTTTCCTCCTCAGGATTTGGCAACTGTAAGCTCAGTGCTGCCTTCTCCACTTGAGCCTTCACCTTTTCCCTGAGTGCTGTGAGCACACCTCACATGTGCAAGTGAGACGTATAAGCGTGTGTGTGTATATGAAAAGAAACTATAATTATGTATTATTCTATTTTGGAGGAACATTCTCCTGTGTGCATATTTTGTATGGTTCCACAGTAATGTACAACCGATGACACACCAACAGGAACCTCTTTTTTTTTTTTTTTTTTTTTTTTTTTTGCTGGATCAATAGAACGTACCTAGAATGGGAACACTCTTCAAGGAATGAGAAAGAAGTTGTGTTAAATCTTGACTAAAATAAGACATGTTATTGAATTCGTTTGTTTCACCAATTAGGTTGTGCCTCCCTTCGGGTTTACGTTTATTCACATATTGACCATGTGCAAAAGGTGAAGAAAATCTTAACTCATGTGTGGGAAAAGTTCCGATGAAGAAAATCGCTACCAGCACTTTAGTGCCTAGCATTTCGTGGGGTGGAATGTGGTGAGACAGCAAAAAAAAAAAAAAAAAGAAAAAAAATGGGCGCAAAAATAGGCGCAAAAATAGGCGTAAAAATAGGCACAAAAATGGGCACAAAAATGGGCACAAAAATATATATGTCACTACACGGTTGTGTCAAGTAGTATTCATGCCAGAACTAAGCTGATTCCAAAAAATGAACCAGCGAGAAAAGACATGTAAAAACAAACCGGGTAAAAAAAAAAAAAAAAAAGAAAGAGCATTACAGGACAATTTCATAATTTGAGAGATTATTCATAGAAGAACAAAATATGTTATACATGTATATTACATATACATAGGATCGAATACGCATGTGTGAGAATATGTAAATATATATATATATATATATATATACCTCACCAACCTCTTTGTAGTATTCCTCTCCCAACAAGCAGAACTAAAATTTACTGCACAGGGAAGGGCGGGGATAGTACCATCAAGGATGTAACTACACTGTACCGAGTGAAATTTTTTTTTTTTTTTTTTTTTTTGTGGATATGATAAAGTAGAGAAATCTCAAATGAAGCGTACACGTGATAACATTTTTTCTTACTTACCAAACGATGTACATTTCTTCAAAATTGTCAAAATTTATTTCAAAATGAAACGACTTGTTCAGATAAATTTCCTCGAATGTCAAATGAACAAAGACATGTTGCGATTCATGGGGTGTTGCACAATTTGGAAACAAGTCTGTGTTTAGTTTCCTTGTAGCGGGATCTAAAAATGAAAAAGTATCCTTTCGCTTTTGTCTCGTTTATTGAAAAACATGAAAGGAGGTTAATTTTTTTTTTTTTTTTTTTTTTTTTTTTTTGTTGGCATAAATCCACCCTTTTGTTTTTTAAGAGATGCAATAAAGAGTTGAGACAACGTTAAAATAAACATTTCCTACATTTCTATTTTAAGCTCGTTTTGTGCATTTCTCAAGTGAAACATCTCTTCTGTGGGTACACACATGTGCATATATGTGTATATGTATACATATGTTCATACATGCTTTCATATTTTACACATTTCTAAATGTAGATTTCTTTTTCTTTTTTTTTTCACCACTTTCCACATTCGGACACTCCGAATATTAAATAAACAGAAAACCTATTTGTAAAAATGTAAAAAGGCATTAACCCAAAGAACCTACTAAGATCATTAATGTCATCCCTTTTTCACCAGTAATTCGATTTGTGGAGCATTTATTCTCTTGCTTATGTTATATATATGTACACATAACACCTTCATGATTTCTTAAGAGTAGTAAAATAATTAATTGCGTTTCCTCCATCAGTATGTCCTACCTCATCACTAGACGAAAGAAAAAAAAAAAAAATACATTCTTAGCGTTACATATCAACTCCCTTAGGGACTCCGAACGGTCTATGTGTGTACACACGCATGTATATATCTATACATACATACATACATATATGCATACAATCTCCTTGTGCCATGGCATGGAAATAAAGAAAAATATTTTGTCGTTCAGCTTGCATCCTCATTTTGCATCCATGCAGAACGGGGATATGGAATGGTTCCTGATACATTCCGTTAAAAAAACAGAATAAAGTAGCTTACATGGTTATATACATACACGAATACATATGTATATATCTCCTATATGTATGTTTTCATTTTTTCCACTACAACAATTGGGATATAATACCTGCTTTTAATTTTGCCCCCATACTTAGAAGAAGTGAAATTCTCAGTTCCCTCTTTTTTTTTTTTTTTTTTTTTTTGAAGTAACATTTTTCTTCTCCCAAAAATAAAGAAATTTAAGTCCATTTGTTTTTATTTTGGGTGGCAAATCAGATCATATAATATCATGATATTTTTTTTTTATCAATTTTTACAACATTTTTTGTATTTTGCTCCAATTCGATTTGTGGCCTCTTAAAGTAAGAAAAGAAAAAATATGTTTTGCCTACAAGTTTCCATTCCACATGCGTTTTTTTTTTTTTTTTTTTTTTTTTTTTTTTCCCTTACAAGTCTGTGATACTTATGGGAAGAAATCATGCAACCCATGTTTGTTCATGCGTGCATAAACAAATACTGTCGCGTTATACCTATTAAATAAAATATATATGTGCATATTATATTCAAATATTCAAACAAACGCAGGCAAAACATATATATGAGATATGAAAACACGTGAACCCCGATTATATAGAGTCTCCTATATTTTCGCAGCAATAAACTTGTAACCCTTTTTTTTTCTCAGTTGCATTAAATGTTCAGGGAAAGAAGAAAAAAAAAAAAAAAAAATAATTCTCAACCATTCAACGTAATTACTTTTCACCTCATTATCCAAGGGAGATAGAGTAAACTCCTGAAAAGAAGAATGGGTAGTAAACAAGTGTATATATATCCACGTATACATACATGCATACATACGTGAATACATCACATATACGTACATGTAATATATTTACTCTTTTTCCCCTAATGTAAGGTATTTTTTTTTAAACTAAAATTTTCCACTCATAAAAATGTATACATAGGGGTATTTCCGTCCTTGTGATAATTTTTTTTTTTTTTCCATATTATATGAAAACACACATTTTACCTATTTGTTATTTGCCCACTGTACAAACATTGTAAATAAAGAGTCATTTAAAATCATAGTATCCATACCGTTGCCTCATCCTTTTTTTTTTTTTTTTTTTTTTTTTTTGTCCTGTTTGCTAATCGAATGTATCGACATTATGCCGATAAAGAGAAACTTCTACATGGGTGAAGCAAAAAAAAAAAAAAAAAAAAGTAGAAAAGAAAAAAAATTCATTGCAGTTAGGGAAGCCAAACTCATTAGAACAGCTTTTCTATCACACAACTGGTTCTTCCTCATATCTGTATATATGTATATTTACATTTTTTTTATTTTTCCATTTTTCTATTTTTCCGATCCTTTACATATTGTAAGCTTTTAAATAAGTAGAACCAGAATTCATTGTATGTTCTGTTGGGAATATAGATGTTCTACCACCTATGAAACCTTCAAGGACAGAACAAGAAATAATGAAATACCTTTTTTTTACAGTTCAAGGATGAACGAGATAGAGAGAGGTGCTAATTGAATTTTCAACTTGTATATAGAAGACACATATATGTGTTTTTATATATATATATATATATAAGTGCACACTGAGAGGACTCATTTTTTCATTTGAGTGCTAGATAGCATATTCTTAGGATGTGAAAATACCAACACGTGATAAAGCAGAAGTAAAATGGAGTAATATTTTCCATGCATCTTACACGACGAACGAATGATAGAGAGGTCTTTATGAATGACGAACAAAGGGGGAAGAAAGGGAGAATATCATATCGATCTATCGATATCTTTTCCTTTTTTTCTCTCCTTTTTTCTCTCCTTTTTTCTCTCCTTTTTTCTCTCCTTTTTTCTCTCCTTTTTTTTCTCTCCTTTTTTCTTTCCTTTTTTCTCTCTCTTTTTTTCTCCCTGTATACTATCATACTCCATTGTGTATATGACCATAACAAGATTGGAAGTGGCATCTTTTGAAACAGTGTTCATCTCAAAATTGACATATTTTTGGGCTCCAAAAAAATAAAAAGAAAAAAAGGGAGAACACATTGAAATTCATCGTGCGGTAGTTTGTTACGAGTATATCACACCAAGGTGCACTTGAATGTAAACCAAGAAGTAAATCCTCGTGACCTCTTTTTAGTCCAACATCTACCATCATCTCCACAAAAAAAAAAAAAAAAAAAAAAAAAAAAAAAAAAAACATGCCTGTGCTATACCATCTGACTTTACAAAAGCCAACGGCTATCACAAAAATTGCATACGGGAATTTCTCTGCCCCTAGAGTACACGAAATTGTGGTATCAAAAGGACAAGTGTTGGAACTTCTAAGAGCAGATAAGCAAGGGAAATTAAATTTAATAGTATCTAAGGATGTATTTGGAATAATCCGTTGCTTGCAGACGTTTCGACTTACAGGGAGTAATAAAGATTACATAGTGATAGGTAGCGATTCAGGAAGATTAGTAATTTTAGAATTTAGTCAAGAGAAAAATGATTTCTTAAGAGTGCACTGTGAAACATATGGAAAGAGTGGCATTCGTAGAATTATTCCAGGTGAATATATTGCAGTAGATCCCAAAGGTAGAGCACTAATGATATGTGCAATAGAGAGACAAAAATTTGTATACATCCTGAATAGAGATAATAAAGAAAATTTAACAATTAGTAGTCCTTTAGATGCACATAAGTCTCATTCGATTTGTCACGACGTGGTAGGTTTAGATGTCGGTTTTGAGAATCCTATATTTGCTTCAATTGAACAGAATTATGAAAATTTTGATAAACATATTACCAATACTAATGAATTAGATGAATGTGTAAAGAAAACACTCTTATGCTTTTGGGAAATGGATTTAGGATTAAATCATGTAATACGTAAACATACACTACCTATCGATACAAGTGCACATCTATTGATTCCAATTCCTGGGGGTCAGAATGGACCAAGTGGAGTTATTGTATGTTGTGATAATTATTTAGTGTATAAAAAAGTAGATCATGTAGATGTATATTGTGCATATCCAAGGAGATTGGAAATAGGGCAAGAGAAGAATGTATCTATAGTATGTAGTGCAATACATAGAATAAGAAAATTTTTTTTCATTCTTATACAATCCGAATTTGGAGATTTATATAAAATTGAAATGGAACATGAAGATGGAATTGTAAAAGAAATTACGTGCAAATATTTTGATACAGTTCCTGTAGCTAATGCCATATGTGTACTAAAATCAGGTACTTTTTTCGTAGCTGCAGAATTTGGGAATCATTTTTTTTATCAATTTTCAGGAATAGGTGATGAAGATAATGAAGCTATGTGTACATCTAAACATCCATCTGGAAAAAATGCAATAATTGCATTTAAAACAAAGAAATTAACCAATTTGTTTATGATAGATCAAGTATATTCTCTTTCACCCATTCTCGATATGAAAATAATAGATGCAAAAAATTCAAGTACACCACAAATTTATGCTCTCTGTGGAAGAGGGCCAAGGTCATCTCTTAGACTCTTACAACACGGATTGAGTATAGAAGAATTGGCAGATAATGAATTACCAGGAAAGCCACAATTCATTTGGACTATCAAAAAAGATAATGCAAGTGAGTATGATGGATATATAATTGTAAGTTTTGAAGGAAGTACTTTAATTCTAGAAATAGGTGAAACGGTTGAAGAAGTGGTAGATAGTCTACTACTAACAAATGTGACGACCTTACATGTTAATATCTTGTATGATAATTCATTCATTCAGGTTTATGACACAGGGATAAGACACATGAATGGAAAAGTAGTGCACGAATGGATACCACCTAAGAATAAACAAATCAAAGCAGCAGCATCAAATAGTTCACAAATTGTTGTCTCGCTAAGTGGTGGAGAGTTAATCTATTTCGAAATTGATGAATCACACACACTTGTAGAAATATTTAGAAAAAATTTGAACGTAGAAATTCTATGTCTTTCCATGCAACAAATTCAGGAAAATAAACTCAGGGCAAATTTTTTAGCTGTCGGATGTTTAGATAATGTTGTTAGATTATTATCAATTGAAAAGGAAAAATATTTTAATCAATTATCTACATTTATACTTCCTAACAATTCATCAGCACAAGATATATGCATCTCAGAAATGAGTGAATTAGGAAATGATAAAGACAGAAATGTCTTATTTCTAAATATTGGATTGAACAATGGTATTCTTCTAAGAAGTGTAATAGATCCAATAACTGGTACATTAACGAATCATTATTCAAAATATTTAGGTGCGAAAAGTGTAAAAATATGTCTCGTGCATGTTAATAAAAATTCAGCACTTTTGGTACTTTGTGAAAAAACTTTTTTATGCTACGTGCATCAAGGAAAATATATTTATTCCCCATTAAATTATGATATGCTCGAACATGCATCTTCTTTCCATTCGGAGCAATGTTCAGATGGATATGTAGCTATATCTGGAAATGGATTACGTATTTTTAGATTCTATCGATTGGGGGAAGTATTCAGCCAAAACATTCTGCATCTAACTTTTACTCCTAGAAAAATTGTACCTTTACCATTTCCTTCTCTCTTCTATGACCATGATACTTCTATCGAAATTGAGACACAGAAGAACATTCGTATGCTTGCAATTATTGAAGCTGATCATAATACTTATGATGAAAATACGTTGACTGAAATTCAAAAGGCATTGAAAGGAATTAAGTTAGATGCTGATGAGACAAGAAGTGCAACAGAATCAAACAAAGGTACTACTGGTTCAACAAAGGGGAAGATTGAACGTACCCAAACACTTACGAATGACATACCGGATCGAATTTCCAATGGAATTAACACTCATGCATATGCAGATAAGGAAGAAGAGGGCTGTTCTACAAAAAATCATTATCTTGATGGAGAAAATCCTGGGAATAAAAATAAAAGTGATATTGGCATGAATCCTCATCTAGAGAAAGGAATCCATATGGAAAACCAACTTAATAACGAAAATGGAGAAGTAAAACAAGCACAAGAAGAGGAAGAGGAAGGAGAAGAAGAAGAAGAAGAGGAAGAAGAAGAACTACTCTATGATCGAATTGGAACTTTCAAAGCAGGGTCAGGTAAGTGGGGATCTTGTATAAAAATAATCCATCCAACAAATTTACAAATCATAGATAAAATTTCCCTCGAAATGGAAGAAGCAGCATTGAGTGTATGTGCATGTGAATTGGAAGCTTTGCACTGTTTAATAGTGGGAACCACAACAAGCTTATCACTGAAAAGTAGAAATGCTTCAGCAGCTGCATTACGTGTATACACATACGACATTAGATACAAACTCAACCTATTACATATAACACCAATAGAAGATCAACCTTTCTGTTTCTGTCCTTTCAACGGAAGACTTTTAGCTTCTGTTGGAAATAAATTAAGAATATATGCATTAGGAAAAAAAAAATTATTAAAAAAATGTGAATATAAAGATATCCCGGAAGCTATCATTTCAATTAAAGTTTCTGGAGATCGTATCTTTGCTTCTGACATTCGAGAATCAGTTTTAATATTTTTTTATGATTCCAATATGAACACCTTAAGATTAATATCGGATGATATTATTCCAAGATGGATAACTTGTTCAGAAATTCTTGATCACCACACTATTATGGCTGCTGATAAATTTGATTCTGTTTTCATCCTAAGGGTAAGTATTGGAAATTTGTGCTTTTTTTTTTTTTTTTTTTTTTCTCCACCATTATCATAAAAATTATACTCATACAAAAAAAAAAAAAAAAAAAAAAAAAAAAGACTCCTTCAGATGTATTATATAAATGAACGGGTGTTGTGTCCCGTGGGCATGGGGAGGAAGAGTCATTAATCGGGTTACTCAAAATCATACTCATACAAATGAGTGTGGGAGGAAAGGGATACAAGGAGGAGGGGTGCACATTTTGGAAAGAAATTTTCTCTATGTATCAACATGGCATTGCATTATGATTTTTTTATGCACGAGCAACTTCGAGAGTTTTTTTTTTTTTTTATACATCAAATTGCAATTTTTTTTTTTTTTTTTTTTTTTTTTCACCCGTTTCTCTCTTGTGTTTTATAGGTACCTGAGGAAGCCAAACAGGAGGAGTATGGTATATCGAACAAGTGTTGGTATGGAGGCGAAATTATGGCCGGTTCTAACAAAAATAGAAGGGTAAAATTTGGACATTCTAGTTGGTATATCCACCACACTAGAGTATATTTTTTCGTGTATGCAATAGTGGTGTCAACCCTAATTACGTCCCGCTGCCGTGTATCTATCAGTTGATTAGTCCTCTAGTGTGGGCATCTTTTCATCTGCTTAGCTTTACATGTGCTAACACATTAAAACATATTCAGATACATTCATTTTTGATGATTGATCCTTTCTTCTTCTTCTCCTCCTCCTCCTCAGCTCGAACACATCATGAGTTTCCATGTCGGAGAATTGGTAACTTCTTTACAAAAGGTTAAATTATCGTCCACTAGTAGTGAGTGTATAATATACTCCACCATCATGGGAACTATAGGAGCCTTTATTCCATATGACAATAAGGAAGAGGTATGCACAATAATGATAAAAAAACGAATGGATAGTTTCATGTTTCCTCCTTAATATAGTTTTTTGTATCCTTCAAAGAAATATGCACTACCTGAACATTCATAATTTTTTTTTTTTTTTTTCTTTTTTTTTCCTGCATATTTTGCCCCAATTTGTTCATCATAATATACTTACAATATTTAACTCCCATATTTTTCCCCGTACAGTTGGAGTTAACTCAACACTTGGAAATAATTTTAAGGACTGAAAGCCCCCCCTTGTGTGGACGTGAACATATATTTTTTCGTTCCTACTACCATCCCGTTCAGGTATGTACTAATATACATATATGCACATATACATACATGCACATATACATACATGCACATATACATACACATGTGCACATATACATATATACATGTGCACATGTAAGAATGGGAACCTTCGAAACTTGGGAGACAAACGTGTCCATTTTGTCATATGTGCAATTTGGTTTTTTTGTACCCTCCATTTTGAGTCTTTCCAATGGGTCGTGATTGCGACCTCATTCCTACATGATCACAATACCATTACAATTTCCAATTTCTCAGCATGTTATTGACGGAGACTTGTGCGAACAATTTTCAAGTCTACCATACGATGTTCAGAGAAAAGTTGCATCTGATTTAGAAAGAACCCCTGATGACATCTTAAGGAAATTAGAAGATATTCGCAATAAAATTCTTTAAATGCTTTTCTTTTTTTCACCCTTCCCCCCCCCCCCCCCCCCCAATTTGAAT